ATGCCCAGCAGATCGTTCTGGGGGTTACTTGACCGTAACACCGTCACCGCTGGTCAGTGCCGGTTTGGGGAAGGCAGCGAGCATTAAGGTGCAGTGCAGCAATGGACTTTGCTGCACTACCCACCGTTTGACCACCATGTAGCCCCACACTGTAGCCTAGAGAAACCTGTCCATGCGTGGTCGTCGTCCATTTTCGAGCGCAACCCTGCTTAGTCTGCGAGATCTGACCTCACAGCTGTCAACCCTACAACCACACCACCCCCAGTCACCACCAACACCGCTGCGCACAAGGCCCTATCAGAGGTATCCCTGCAAAACCGAGGACCCACCTCTGATATTATGGTCGGGGCGTTTAGGCCAATGTAAAGGCGGCTTAAGTTGACTACGCGCCTTCAAATCGCACACGATGACACTACTGTGTTGGCCAAACTCGGATGATGATGATAGTGGGGAGGGGGGGGGTAAATAGTGGCTGAGCCGTCTTGTTTGACCCAACACGGAGCCTTGTTGCGAGCCCCAGAGGAATCTCAAGTGGCCCCTTGTAGCGCGACTTTAATTACAGAATGCATATCTGTGGCTTAGTGCTGCGGTCCCATCCATTATTCACAACGGTGGCTGTTGCTCGCTGAGTGTGGAGCCCGCTCGGGGGGCACGGCTCAAGAGTCGGCGGCCGCTCCACGGGGACTTTGCGGTCGTGCCACTGCGGTGGCTCCTCCCAAGGCTTTATCGGATTCGTGCCGCGTTTGTGTGTGCGGCGCGATGTCCGACGTTTCGCTAAACGTGCTGCCAGCTTCTTCAGTAACTGACTTGAGCCGCTCACTTTCCCATTTACCATTTTCCCCGGATTATAATATGCAGCCCCCCCGCCCCCACCATGTAGTTATGTATTTCAAAGCGAAAGTTGGAGGAGCGTTACATCATCCGGTGGGGGTGCGTCTGTGCGTTTGACTAGCATTGAATAACTTCATTTTACTTTTATGACCATGTCGATCAGATGTAACTTGCAAACGAGCCCGTGTAAAGGCGCCCAGTTCTTACCTGGTAAAACACAACTCTCTTGACACTGGGGCGCAAGTTTCGGGAGTGCGTCTTACTTTCCAGAGCGTCTTACTATCCGGAGAATCCGATGTGCGCCGTGCAGCATTTGCCGGCTGCTGCTGGTGGTGTTGCCGGCTGAGCTCTCTTGTCACAGCTGTGTGCAAGCACGATTACCCAGTCCGTTGAAGGCGATAACGGCTGAAGCGACTGCGCCTTCAAGTGTGCTGTTTTTAGTCGCTGCTCGAGATGTGGTGTAAGGCATAGGCCTAAGTATACACGCGCATCAGATAAATACGCTTCTCTGTTTACACTTGCAGGTGTTTATAGGAATTCGAGTATTTTATCGCTTAACCAAAAAATATATATGAAACGAGAAATGGAAAGTTCCGCGCGTTAACAAAAAATTCTGCTCATTTCCGTCGGTCGTGATGATTCTCTAAGGCCGTCACGTGCTGGACAAAGTTGGGTTTCACCATCGCAAGGGATTATATCAGTGAGCCCCGTGTCCATCCAGCCACGCGCTGCCAATGAACTACTGGACATCTGTGAAAACTCCTGGACATCTGTAAAAAATAACTTCATAGCTCATCGGATTCCTCCAGTATAAAGATTCTGATTCTGGAACATCCGAAGTGTGTGGGTGATGATGCTCAAAGCAGACAAGCGGTGCACCAACCTGATCCAGCCCTTACTGCAGTAGCGGGCTTGACAGAAGCACTGTGAATATACAAATTACTGCAACGACCCAAACCCTTGAATAATATGTGTTTCTATGTGCATCCTTGCCAAACATTAGGATACCAGGAATAGGTAACTTCATATTCCAATGTAAAAATTGTTGCTTTGGAACATACCTATAATTATATTGAAACTAAAACTAAACAGTGACCTAAAGCTTTCATGACTGCAGCAATTCATATTCTTTAGGTCTTTCGGTAAAGTTACGTAGATCGGTAAAAAGATCCATTTTTTTTTTTTTTAAATTTGAACCTATCTACGTGACTTTACCGAAAGACCCAAAGAATATTGAACTAAATAATTGTTTATTTTACCAGGTAAGGCCCACTGACCTATATAGCTCTTTTTCAGAAGTGACCTGGCCACAAATAATATCTCAACAAAAGATGGATACTAGATTTGAAGCTTTCGTGACTGCAAGGATTCATACTCTTTGGTTTTTTCGGTAAAGTCACGTAGGTAAACTTGACACAGATATTCTGCTGTGACTGTTCCACCTGAAGACGGAAGCTTGTGTTGCCTCCGAAACGTCGTGATTTAATTTAGTTTTCTTTTATTTTATTTTACCTACGTGACTTTACCGAAAAAAAACAGAGTATAAAAGATGGCTTATCAAGTGGAAATTTATAGCAGCCAAATACTCTAAATGCATGTTTCTGAATGTGGAGGGATAAACCGTAGGAACCCAGGGAAAAATCCACACGACCACGGGGAGAACACGCAAACTCCAAATATATCAGGCGAGGTATTTAAAAATCTCGTCACCGTGGCACACATGGTATAAAGTGCAGTGTCCACCTCTTTTTGTCCACTCCATCCCTGGCATGTCTATGCATGTCCTATGAAGGACCATTGCCTGCCATGTCACCTATTATATATACAAATTCTCCCCTTTTAGGGACACAACACAGTGTTATTGACACACGCGTTTAGTTGTTTTGTTTTTTTACTGTTAATTTGGGCCTGTGCACTGCAAAGCAGCAGTGGCATCGCCACCGAAATAATCTGTTTGCTGCCTCAAATCAGTCCGCTTGGCAGGCACAGGTGCGTGCACTACTACAATTGAGTGCACGCGTGCGTGAGCACGAGTCACGCGTGGCACGTACAGTGAGTGAGTGTGAGTGTACCGGGGTGCTCGCGCGTGTGTGGTGTTGGAGGGGTGGGGGAAACGTGACCGCATCACCAGGGAAACGCCACGAGACGCCGCAGTCACGTGCAGAGTGGCGGACGGGGGGGGGCATAGGCTGAGGGTTGGACGTGTGCACACACACAAACACGTGTCTGTGTGATAGAGTGTTTGTGGTGAGCGGTAGTGTTAGTAGCTAGCGCCCTGCGCTAGGAACCTGGCAACACAGGTTCCATTCCCAGCTCACGGTCAACGCCAGTGACGATTATCTGAACCGGTCCTGGGCTGCCCTTAGGTCGACTCAGCCTCAAATGAGTACCTGGTGCGATGTGTTAAACATCGCCACTAGGGAGACAAAGGCGGCCGGGCGTGGTGTTGGCCACCTACCCCCTCGTGTGCCGTGCCGGTCTTTATAGGTGATCGCAAACAGCACTTGCCCCTACAGTCTGTTAAGGCTATACGGGGGATCTTTGCCTTTGAGGGTATGGTTGAGCAGTGGTAGTGAAGAAATCACAAAGGGTAGGTGGCTGGTGAAGCGTTGGAGGGGGCGGTAGTCAATGGTGGGAATTGGCGGTGCCAATAGGGGTTTTAACAATGCTATAACACCTTGTTAATAAATAATAAAAATGAAAACAAATTACAACCTCTTCGTAATTCCACGACTGGATGTAGGCCTCGACTATAGTGGTTGTTTGGCCATACTTCACCATGCAGGTTGGCGAAAGGGGACATCACAGGACTGATGTACCAACATCACTCGCTGCTGGCACAAGCTGTGGCTGGGTTAATGTGGCATGCAAACCACTGCAACACCTCCCCACCACAACACATTGGTTATAATAAACATACACAATACTTATGAGCTAAGTTCAAGACCTGCCCAGAGTTGGCTCAACCATATCATCATCAACAAGTTAATCATTATTATAATATGGTCAGGGCGCAATTTCAGCCATATCCATCTGGGTCAGCAACTTGGAAAATATTTCTGCACCCGACACGCCACATTGAGTATCCCTCTCCCTATGGCTGTGGCGACTTGTCGTGCGCTACCTACTCCAGTCCATCAGCGTCTGAGAAAAAAGTTCGTGAGAAATGAAGAACTGATCTTGATGATGATCATCATCATCATCATCAACGCTCTGGGGTGTGTAAATTAAGCACCAGCTGGTGAGGCTGCTGCACCACTTGATGGGGAAATTAACAGTAGTGGCTGTGTTGCTAAAATTCTCCTCAACATGGCACTGTGGAATTTCCACTGCTGCCTATAAGTGAAGATGGTCAGTGACGGCAGCTTATTTTGAGCACGAGCATGCAATAATTTGGCGTTCACGTTTGTTTGATGTCCAAGTGGTGGTCTCAGTTTTAGCCAAACTACAATCACCAACAATGAATTGTTACTTCACTGGAGTGCTTGACAAAATGAGCTTATACTGTTCCACTCGGATGAATGCATCTTGTGTACGCAACCCTTCGTAAGGGAATTGCTTTCACTGCATTGCCAAAAGTGTCATTATCCTGCGCGGTAATTTAGTCATTCTTCTGCAAAGTAATTTTATAAGCATGTAATGATTAATTTTGCAAGCTACATAGCACAACCGTGAAAATATACATAGTCGTGATGATCTCTTTGCTCGCAATGCATGCATCAGCTCGTACCTCTAAGAATCGATTATAATCTATGATTTCTGCAAATGATATATGAATGCCTTTAAGCTAATCAAACGAACAACATGAAACATATCCGATGTAATATAAAAAAAGCGACTTCGTTCAAACTATATTTTTAAAATGGAGTTGATTGGTGACCCTGAATCATGACAATTCCTCAAATTACCTGGGGAGTGAATCATTGCATTCTTATAACATGCTCTTGTTAGCTTCGGAGTGGCAGTGGCATGGGCACTGGTGCAAGAAATGAAAGTGGTGGTGGAGGGAGTGCCATGTTCATCATTCCCCCCTCCTCAGCCTGGCGCCTGGGCCCCCTCTGGCGTGTGGGCCCCGGTGCAGCTGCACCGCCTGTACACCCACTCGATAGCTACGCCACTGTCGAGGCTCGAGTCCTTTTATTGACAGGTTCCTGCATGTAAGTTCCCACCTCAGCAGATGCACCGCACGTTCGATGTCACTCAGTCCTTCGTCCACGGTCAGCCGTTCAATCTCTTCGGGCGTCTGTGTGGGTGGGTGGGGGGGGGGCACAAAGGGAAGGGCGCACGATGAGTGGATTGCTTGGCAGTTCATGCATTAATTAAGACGTGCTGCACTCGTGGGCAAAGTGCGCACAGAAGCGTGGAAAGGTGCACGCCTGGAATTACGCTGGGAGAAGGGAATAAAGGTGGGGGAAACACACACGTGGGTTAGAGGACATCCCAGAAGTTGAGACGTCATATTTACCGTGAAAGAAAATTGAGCCTAAGCAGGATGCATCGCTGCAAAGGATGAAGGTCTGCGGTTGAAACTAACGACAGGGTGGCAGCAAAAGGAAGGGGGAGAACACGCCTGAGGGGCCGTCCAACGTGGAGATGAAGCGATAAAATCAGATGGCGTGCCGGAGCTAGATGGATTATTGCATCGCGAGACCGTGAGAGATATCGACGGTTTCAGGAGGCCTTCATCCAGCAGTGGAAAGATGTCTGATGATGATGATAACGATGATGATGAAACTCATGTGCACTGGGAAAGGGTTAGGGGGTTAGTGCTGGGCATCAATCAAATCTGTAATCGATCGCTCCACGAAAACCCATGGGGATGTTACAATATTTAGTCTGTAAAGAAGCCACGGTGTGTAAGTCATGGATAGGTAACTTAATATCGTGGCTTTGTGGGACAGACACAAGCTCTGTCTGTGAGCAGCCAATCTTTTTATCTTTTGCTGGCTTCCCGACCCTTTCTGGCTTCCGTGCCACACAAAAAATTCGACTCACCAGCCGACACTGCCCTTGCCATTTAACTCATTGACTCAATTCACATGGTTACTTTATAAGCAGCCCTTCAGCCTGGATAGCACTTGGATAGGGCAACCACCGTGCATGATGACAGGTTGCTTTCGGCTGCTGTGAGACTACCTGGTGGGCAGCAGAGAGTAATGCAGCAAAATCCATTGTTGTACTGTTCTTCTGTGCTCCCTGCCTTCAACGATCTGCCCTGACCAGCGTGGCGAAGTGTGGTCATACAACTCGTACGACCCGCAATGGCATGGGCAGGACCTCGGCCAATGGTAGATTTTCAACGATTTGCACTGTTACTCGCATCTACAGATCCACCCGGTTACTTGGCAGGGTTCCTCTGTTTGGAAAGTTTAAGCGGAATAGTTGTTGTTCAACTCGTGTTTCTGCCTGACCCGAGTTAATTTCACTCCGTGTTTGCATTGTGCTATTGTGTTTGTTCTGCCACGTGCGTGCGGGTCGTCTGGGTTTGATGTATTTGGCATACTTTGGTGAAAGTCGTTTGCCTGTATTGGATTGTTGGAATATATTTCTGTTGATCTGCCTCGGCTTGCGAGTCAGATATCTAATTGCGATTTTTCTGACAGATATTGCGATTTGATTTGCGATTACATTTTTTAAAGTCAAGCTGCAGTTCAATATTCACTCTGTAACAGATTTAAAACATGTGATGGAGCATTACCACGTAATACCATCAAAATATGAACTGCTCTATATATTCTAATGCAAGAATGAGAACTTTAAAGATATGAATTTGTTCCAACATGTATTTATTAAAACATTTTAATTAAATAGAACAATGAAACATGGAACAATTGTTAAGTTAAATTAATTAAGTTATAATAATAAAAAAATATGAACTGCTCTATATATTCTAATGCAAGAATGAGAACTTTAAAGATATGAATTTGTTCCAACATGTATTTATTCAAACATTTTTATTAAATAGAACAATCAAACATGGGACAATTGTTAAGTTAAATCAATTAAGTTATAATAATAAAAAATGAAACAATTCCAATAAGCAATAGGACTTTTCAAATCGCAAAAAATCGCAGCCTTTGCAATTTGCTAATCGCATTGTTTCAAATTCTGATTTCGATTTGAAATCGATCAATCTTTCATCCCTAGTCAGGTCTTCTGATAGTGCTGCTCTGCTCTCACGCTTAGGTCCAGGCAACCCTTGCGACAGGGACGCGATTTCTCTGTGTCATAGGACATTCCACATTCCTGTGGCAGGATCAAGCCGAACCACAGTTACAAATATAGATGAACAAAGGTAAACGTCACACTTGTTCAACACGTTGCGCGATGATTAACGATGTTATCAGCGAGTCCTAGCTCAATAATTAACCTTTAAATAATGTATTAAGTGGCGCTGTAAGCGTGGCACACAACATCACCGTGGAGGCGAGAGTTTGGTGGATGTTGAGAAAACTCTCATCCCATGGACATCGAGAAGGTGCCATACCCTGGTTCACCAGGAGAAGGCAGTACAACAAGTGGGCTAATCGCCATCCGTTTCCATCACGCGTGCATTGTCTCCAGGTAATCCGGCGTCCTCCCACGTGCACATTAAACACTCATCATAAATTGGCTGAAAACATCTTTAAGTAAAAAGAAACCCAATGCAGGACTCTCCTTAAAAAGTGGACTACGTCTCGGTGTGGCTAGCCTGGGTAAGTAGAGTTATAGACGCTACAAATAAAGTTATTGAATTGTTTAGACTCACGCAAGGACCCATAGACTCGCGCAAAGAGACAATACAATGAATATATCCCCCCCCCCCCTGTTACTCTACAAAAGTTTTGAGACGCGGTCAAACTTTAACAAACATTTTTATTTCACCAGATAAGGCCCACTGAGCTATATAGCTATTTTTCATTATAGCAGCCAAATACTCTAAAAGCATGTTTCTAAATGTGGAGGGAAAACCCGGAGGATCCGGAGAAAAATCCACGCAAACTCCAAATATACAGCAGCAGCAGCAGGCGTCAGGTTCGGCATCGAACCCACGACCTCCTGCACACCGGGCGAGGTAGTTAACATCTCATCGCCCGGGACTTGGTCTCCTCAGTGGCGATGTTCACACACGACAGCAGTTACTCGTTTGAGGCTGAGTCGACCTAGGGGAGGCCCAGGACCGGTTCAAATAATCGTCACGGGTGGTGGCCGTGAACGGGAATCGAACTCGGGTCGCCGGGTTCGTAGCGCGGCACGCTAACCACTACACTACAATGCGTTACACTTCCACACAGACGACAAAGATCACCCGTATAGCCTTAACAGACTGTAGGGGCAAGTGCTGTTAGCGAGCACCTATGAAGGCCGGATCGGTACACGAGGGGGTGGGTGGCCAGCACCACGCCCGACCGCCTTTGTCTCCCCAGTGGCGATGTTTACACACCGCACCAGGTTCTCATTTGAGGCTGAGTCGACCTAAGGGAGGCCCAGGACCGGTTCAGATAATCGTCACTGGTGTTGACCGTGAGCGGGAATCGAACCCGGGTCGCCAGGTTTATAGCGCAGCGCGTTAACCGCTACACTATCGCTCCCCACACAGACACTCACACACAGTGACACACACAGACACACACACAGTGACACACACACAGTGACACACACACAGACACACACACAGTGACACACACACAGACACACACACAGTGACACACACAGACACACACAGACACATACACAGACACATACACAGACACACACACACAGACACACACACAGCGCGCTAACCACTACACTACAATGCGTTACGCTTCCACATGCGCGGGTCACGTGACAGATGTGACGTCACAGCTCACTTGCCGTGCAATAAAAATTCATTATTGAGCTCCCCCCCCCCCCTTAAAAAACACAAAAGTGTATTTTTTATAATTGTTGCATGGTGTACAGTCTGGAAAGTACCCACATGGCAAATTTCAAGTTAGTTGCATGTCGGGAAGCACGCTAAACATTTTGAACAGACACACATTCACAACTTTGCCCTTCATATATTTAGAGATTGCCAACGTCCCCGCACATGTCACTTTCAGAGGGCCAGCTAGCTCAGCAGCCGGCAACACAAAGAACGAGTCCCTTTGTGAAATATTGAGGATTGCATTTTGATTTAAAGCTTTCGTGACTGCAGGGATTCATATTCTTGGTTCTTTCGGTAAAGTCACGTATTGTTATCCCTTCTACGTGACTTTACCGAAAGAACCAAGAATATAATAATAGGGTTTTCCCCCTTTATTCTGGCAACAAAACTTAAAACCTTTTTACAAGGATTCATGTCTGCATTAACCACAATACCTGCAGCCAAAATGCAAACAAAAAAAACATACTATGCTAATATATACATTGTCCTTGAAACTATCATAGTATGTTTTTTGTTTGCATTATGATTTGCAGGTATTGTGGTTAATGCAGACATGAAATCCTGGTAAAAAAAAGGTTGCAGTTTTGTTGCCAGACAAAAAAAATGGGAAAAACCCCTATTATTACATTTTGGTTACTGGCAAAGGAGGTCTAATGATGAACCAAGAATACATTGAGGATTGTTTGACCGATTTTGAAAACGGAGCCCCAACGCACTGTGGGGTGAATACGAGACGGTCGTTCCTTAATAAATAAGCAGAAGTCCTTCAAAGACCACCCCCACCACCCCTCGACAAGGTTGCCGACACCCTTGAGCTAGATATCCTGTCGTTGTACAACACGTTGAGTTGATACCGTTTATACTGGTAGGAAGGAACGAAGTTGTAAACTGAGTGTACCAGCCTGCAATAGATTAATGTGTCCGTCCGTCCGTCCCCTTTCAATACTTTAACGAAGTGAAATCTCGTGCTGTTGGGGTGTAAAAATAAAATTGCGCAAAATTCCAATGTTCCTACCAGCCCACCCTGCAGGGACCTGTTTTTATCGAGGAGGAAAAGAAGCCTCACCGAGTCTCGAGACTCTCTTTCGAGAGGGCCCTGGCTACGTTCGGAATGTGTGGCCAATTCAAGCGACGAGTTTTTTGGGGGGGTTTTTATGGGGGGGGGGGGGGGGTACGACGACTTCGTGCCGCGTGAAACCAAAGCACACGGACGAACGCAGAAGTATTAAGGTGTTTTGCACTCAAAGCTCCACACAGATGGATTCAATCGCGAATTTTATCTACTGCTATTTCTTGGACCACCTCGCAGCCTCTATACATACAAAGCCCCCCCCCACCCCCGTATAGCTTCAACAGGCTGTTGGGACAAGTGCTGTGAGCGGCAAGACAGCACGAAACCCGTCACGGTGCGTGGTCAACACAACGCCGGCCGCCTTTGTATCCCCAGTGGTGTTGATGTGTTTTAAACACCACACCAGGAACACACCCAGTTATCCGTGGCCGAAAATGCGACTTCGGGATGCGGTTTTTTTTGTTTGGTAGCGATAGTGCGCTAACCACGGCGCCACCGCTCCCCACACAAGTACACACACGAGGTATGTTACACACACACAAACTGGTATATACACACAGACACGTATACACACGAGGTATGTTACATATACACACACAAACTGGTACATACACACAGACACGTATACACGCGAAGTATGTTACACACACACTGGTACATACACACAGACACGTATACACACGAGGTATGTTACACACAAACTGGTACATACACAGACACGTATACACACGAGGTATGTTACACACACACACAAATTGGTACATACACACAGACACGTCTACACACGAGGTATGTTACATACACACACAAATTGGTACATACACACAGACACGTCTACACACGAGGTATGTTACATACACACACAAATTGGTACATACACACAGACACGTATACACACGAGGTATGTTACATACACACACAAATTGGTACATACACACAGACACGTCTACACACGAGGTATGTTACACACACACACTGGTACATACACAGACACGTCTACACACGAGGTATGTTGCACACAGACGGGTACATACACACAGACATGTACACACACGAGGTATGTTACATACACACACAAACTGGTACATACACACAGACACGTATACACACGAGGTATGTTACACACAAACTGGTACATACACAGACACGTATACACACGAGGTATGTTACATACACACAAACTGGTACATACACACAGACATGTATACACACGAGGTATGTTACACACACACACACTGGTACATACACAGACACGTATACACACGAGGTATGTTACACACACAAATTGGTGCATACACACAGACACGTCTACACACGAGGTATGTTACACACACACTGGTACATACACACAGACACATATACACACGAGGTATGTTACACACAAACTGGTACATACACACAGACACGTATACACACGAGGTATATTACACACACACACAAACTGGTACATACACACAGACACGTATACACACGAGGTATGTTACATACACACAAACTGGTACATACACACAGACACGTCTACACACGAGGTATGTTACACACACACTGGTACATACACACAGACACATATACACACGAGGTATGTTACACACAAACTGGTACATACACACAGACACGTATACACACGAGGTATATTACACACACACACTGGTACATACACACAGACACGTATACACACGAGGTATGTTACACACAAACTGGTACATACACACAGACATGTATACACACGAGATATGTTACACACACACTGGTACATACACAGACATGTATACACACGAGGTATGTTACACACACACACAAATTGGTACATACACACAGACACGTCTACACACGAGGTATGTTACATACACAAACTGGTACATACACACAGACACGTACACACACGAGGTATGTTACACACACACTGGTACATACACACAGACACATACACACGAGGTATGTTACACACAAACTGGTACATACACACAGACACGTACACACACGAAGTATATTACACACACACACAAACTGGTACATACACACAGACACGTATACACACGAGGTATGTTACATACACACAAACTGGTACATACACACAGACACGTCTACACACGAGGTATGTTACACACACACTGGTACATACACACAGACACATATACACACGAGGTATGTTACACACAAACTGGTACATACACACAGACACGTATACACACGAGGTATATTACACACACACACTGGTACATACACACAGACACGTATACACGCGAGGTATGTTACACACAAACTGGTACACACAGACACGTACACACACTTGTACGTACACACAGATACGTACGCACACGAGGTATGTTACACACACAAAGATACGTACACACACGCAATATATGTTACACACACATACAAAAGGTTACGTGCACACACAAGGTGTGTGTGTGTACCTTGAGACAAGGGCGTACGTTCTTCTCGATACCAAACTCCTGCAGGTCTTCTTCGATTTGAGCCATCAAGTTCATTGCGCTTAGATCCATATCGGTGAATGTATTCTTCTCCACGAGACGGGGCAAGTCTTTCATCAAACCCTTGTCTGTTAGTAGCGAACCCAACACCACCACCACCATCAGCACCACCACCACCGGTAACAACTAACAATAACAACAACAAACAACGTATTAGCACATCCAATAAGTAGCGTCTGGGAGTGTGCGGGATTCGGCCCCGGCCACTCTGGCGTTTGTCGTCAACGGCTCTTGATGGAGGAGGAGGTGGTGGAGGATGATGAGGAGGAGGTGGAGGATGATGAGGAGGAGGATGAGGAGGTGGAGGAGGATGAGGAGGAGGTGCAGGAGGAGGCTGTTTGCTTTCGCCCCAACGTTTACAAGGACAACACGAAGCCGCGTGACAAACCGCCTCACCCAACACCACCACCACCAACCTCGCGTCACATTCCACTTCTCTCTCACTCACTCACCCCCCTCCCCTTCCCTCTCCTCTCTTTAAAAGCGATTTCCTTCGCTGAGTAAGCGTGGAGTGAGGAGGAGGAGGAGGTGGTGGGGGGGAGGAGGAGCGGTGGTTTCTGTACAGCAGCAGGCGGAGGGGATGGAGTTGTGTTGTTACTGCTGCACGTGTGTCCACGATGATGGTGGTGGTGGTGATGATGATGTTGGTGCACAATCGGTTTCGTGACATGCGACTGGTGGGACGTTGAGGATTGTGCTGAGAGCGAGGGTGGTGGTGGTGATGATGATGCTATTGATGATGGGTAAAGATGATGTCTTAGAACCGTTGTGTTGTGGGGCAGCCTTAGCGCACGCACGTGTGTGTGTGTGCCTTTGGGAATGGAACGTTGTGTGTGTGTACGTGTTGTGTGTGTACGTGTGTGTGTACGTGTTGTGTGTACGTCTTGTGTGTGTACGTGTTGTGTGTATACGTGTTGTGTGTGTGTGTACGTGTTGTGTGTACGTGTTGTGTGTGTGTGGGGAGCGTGTCGTGTCGGCCTTCACGTGTTACTTGCTAACAGCACTTGCCCCCAAAAGTATGTTAAGGCTGTACGGGGGATCTTTGTCTTTGTGTGGGGAGCGGCGGCGCAGTGGTCACCGCACTGCGCTCCGTACACGGCGATCAGCCTTCGAATCGCACCGCTCCTCATGCGCCCTCCCCTAGGTCGACTCGGCCTCAAATTAGTACGGGGAGACAAAGGCGGCCGGACGTGGGTGTTGGCCGCACACCCCCCTCGTGTGCCACGGTGCCGGCCTTCACAAGGCGCTCGCAAGAGCTTGTCTCTCTGTGTGATATTTGTCTCTCTGTGTGATATTTGTCTCTCTGTGTGATATTTGTCTTTCTGTGTGATATTTGTCTTTCTGTGTGATTTTTGTCTTTCTGTGTTATATTTGTCTCTCTGTGTGATATTTGTCTTTCTGTGTGATATTTGTCTTTCTGTGTGATTTTTGTCTTTCTGTGTGATATTTGTCTTTCTGTGTGATATTTGTCTCTCTGTGTGATATTTGTCTTTCTGTGTGATATTTGTCTTTCTGTGTGTCATCATGGGTTGCGTCGTGTGAGCCAGTGACCCCTGACGCCACGGCCCTCTCTTTTGCACCCACACATAAACACAAAGGCAACGACACCCACCACCACCCCCTCTCTCCAACTTCCCATTTATTAGCTGTGTGTATGGACTGTTGCTGGGGTGAAGTTGCTGTTAGCGGGGCGCATGTAACACTCCCGGCCGCCTTTGTCTCCCCAATTTAGTAAGAGATTCAGAACAGTAGGGTTAGTGTCAAGGCTAATATTATGGTTCACGTTATGGTTAGTGGCGTGGCTGGTGAGGGCTAGTGTTGAGGCTTGCGTTAACGTTAGTTTTATTTATATCCATGGCAGGGGATCGAATCCAGGCTCGCAGGGATCGTAGCTCGGTTGCGCTAACCACTTCGCCACCGCTCCTCACGTACACACGCGTCTATTTTGTCTCCATGGGTCCGTTGTGTCGTATCCCTTGTTTACGAGCTGGGTCATTTATCAACAAACACGTTCTCCCCACCCCACCTTCTCACTATGTAAACTTGCGGTGAGGATAAAAAAAATAGTTTATAACTACCTCCCGTGGTGGCCCGTAACCGCAAGCACTGCATACGATTTACACGAACAGCTCTGTCCTAAATCCACTGCTGGACGAGGGCCTCCCCACGCCGTGGGTGTTATGTGAGGTTATTTTAATCAAACTTTCAATGGGCTGCTCAGTGCGTTGTTGGTAAAGACAGAGAGAGAGAGGGGATCACAATACACTACAACAATGGGGTTGACTGCATTGGCTTCTGCTGTACGCCTCGTGGCCTGTGGCAGTAGCCCCACAACAAGCTGTCTGCACGCATGGTGGTCGCCCATCCGAGGTCTATTCAGACCCAACACCTGCCTAGCTTCCGATACATGACGAGGGGTCATTTGGCCACAGCCTTATCGTGGTTAACTACAATTTAAACCGGCTTAATTGAGCCCTTAGCCAAATGTCGACCTAAAGAACAACAGCAAATCACTTAAAACACGTGGCTACCCCCCCAACACCCCATTGTCTGAATATGGAATCAATACGAACCCGGCAGGCCGCCTTGCTTCAGTGGAGGTTTAAGAGCCCGTGAGGTCATTCGCAAGAGTAGGCCATTCATTGTGTGCCGGTGTCACGGTCCAAATTTTTTCAAAAATCCTGCAACTTACTCGATTGGAATGTACATAGCAACATCGCCCCCTTCTGCGAACACTTGGCAGGACCTCTTTTGATGAAGATTCACGAGACTGTGATGCTTTTCTGCGTAAAAAAGCACGATAACAATAACCCAATGCCACTGAAATTTGTGACATATATTCAGAATTCCACTTTTAACTCGAGAACCAACGTACATTTTAACCATAATTTACGCTTCGAAAGGTGCCTTTCGCCCGGTGACCGCAAGGCGCTGTCTCTTATTTTGTGCTCGTTGCTCCCATTTGCCAAACGACCGATATATATACAGTAATTATAATCATCGAAGAAAATGTTTTTGCGATATTTGACAATCGGAGCTTGAGCCAAGCCACCAGAGGGCCCTCTGAGCCAGGGGGCGTCATGGCCGGCGTCGCCGTTGCCCCGGGCAACGGCGACGCCGGCCTAGTTGAGCTGTCAAAGCCCGAACCACAACGAAGATAAACTCGCTCGAACTGACTGTAAAAGTTGGACATCACCTTTAACTGCTACGGTAAGTAAGGCGCTGCATTGATAGCGCTCACGAATCGCGCTGGGGGTGTCTTTAGAAACAGCGAAGGACTGACAGACCGCCAGATTCTCGGTCCTGTTGTGCGCCAGCGGTGGTGGATGGTTGTAATATTATTTTGTGTTAGTCTGTAACGTCTCGCTCGTATTATATTCGTTATGCTGTTTTTGTCTGATATATGATGGTGTTATATACGGGAGTGTCTAAACGAGCTGCGCTATGATCCCAGCTGTTGATTCCTGGCTAACATCAGTGACAAGTCATATCTGAACCTGGACCTCACCTTCACCAACCCACGTTGACCAGCGTGGTGAAGTATGGTCAAACCCCCCCATCCTCAAAACTGACATGGTGGTGTGCATTGGGAATGCCTGTAATTTTTTTATGGCGTAAAGTCTTGGAAGCTGAGCAGGGTTTAAAGCCTGGATCGTGCTTGTGTATGGTGACCACCATGCATAACAGGTGCTATAGGCTTCCGGGGCTGCGCTAACGTATTTGGGCAACATAAGGCATTGGTGCCAAAAATCCATAGCACTGTATTTTACTTGAACTCTTCCACGTCTAAGCACTCTGCCTTAAAACACGCACTCGCCATCGTGATTAAAGTATGGTAAAAAAAATAAGGCGTGTAGGGACGTCCTCATCCTGCAGGGGGTTGACCAAAGGAATGTCCGTGTCACATGTCAAAATATTATCATGAGTATTATTTACAGGAGCTCTTCAGGGTTCACGTGGAAATATGATAACGTTGCTGAACTGTACATTGAAAGGCTGCGTAACAATGTACTGTCGTGTCATTTTGACTCATCATCATGGGCCATGGTTGTTTATCCACTCTTGAATGAAGGCCTCCACATCTGATGATTACAAACACCATCAGCCAGGGTCTATTCACTGCTGATTTAAGGCATCGCCATTAATGCACACGAACTGATTTCATTGTTCCATCTCCATGGTGGTCATTCTCTCAGGCACGTGCTCTCCTTTCCTTTGTTTATTGTAGTACGGGAGTTAGACTGATGTGCTTAATACTTAGTTGTCTTGTGGTTGTTGTTGTTTGACTTGCATCCCACTGGGATTTTTGCACACAGCGTTGGTGTACGGTGCTTTTTCAGGAATATTTTGATGTTTTTTTCCCCTGGATTTTCTGTTTGCACAGTCACAAAGTCACTTTAAGATGTTTTCTTGTTCATGTTTTTGTTTTTTGTTTGTTGCGGTTGCACCCGATTCAAGAGCCGAATGGCTCACAGGGCTGTACCAAATAAATGGAACTATGAAACTATGAATTAAATCACCAGTCTCGTCCATGAGCCGTAGCCATCCTCTCACCTTGCGATATGTCCTACCCAGGCCTGTTTACTTTTCCAAACAGTGAACGTGATGTCTCTGAATCCCATGCGTCCCCTGGTCTATGTGCGCCACTTGTGTTTATGCATTCTTTTTTCGTCTGCTCTCCTTGTTGGATGACGGTCAATGGGGGTTGTTTGACCATACTTCGCAATGCTGGTGATTACTAGTTGACGTGGGAGGACCCAGGTCTACTTCAGGTATCGCCACCGATGTTAGCCGTGGCCAGGAATTCAACTCAGGTCGCTAGGTTCATAGAGCATTGCGCTCTGCAGTACACCCCCTGGATCTCCTACTTACTGGACTGTATTATAGGTTTGAGATCACAGATCCGACATGTTTTGTCTATTGTGGTCCAGGAATTTAGCAAATGTTCAGAGCAACCTTTATAACTTTTATGTGCTTGTTTATTTTGAGTTGGGGAGGTTGGGTACACAGCTTACATTTTGCACCACCTTCTCTTGAGTTGTTGAAACACTATCATTATTTACACAAATCTGTGTATTCTGTACTGGGTTTGAAGTTAAATTTGTTTCTATACAAAGTAATCTATGTATACTGTCACGGCTGGGAAAACTCTCAGTTGGCACAGCGCAACAGAGCTGCCACTTGTGAGGTCGCCAGTTCAAATCCTAGTGAGAGTCAACTTTATCATCACCAACATCATAATCTTCAGCTTTATCATCACGTGTGATTGAAATAAGCAACACTATGTGATGCCGCACCACCTGATTGGAAATCCAGTAAGTCAACAGTTGTTATGTTGTGCAGAATTGATTTTTTGTATAAGTAGAATATAGAAATTCCACCACTGGCTTCAGACCACTTCTCGAGAGGAACGCAGGCCAATACTCATTGAGACAAGAGGGCACGTTAACGTTCTGTATATAAACACTATACAATTCATATATGATTGTATACTCTGTAGTTTTTTTCATGTACACATAGGGTTGGCTTTAACAACATTCTTTTTACCGACAGATGGAGGCGTCCGAAGTTGAGCAAAAGTTGCTCCGAGCCATACCAGTTCACGTGAGAGTGGAGCGTGGTATCAACTTGGTAAGCTGCCTGCTGTGTACAGCATGACCCCTATGAGGGTATATCATCATCACAGTAATGGGGAAGGGATGCAAAGGTGTTGGATTCCTGCATCACGAAATGGCCTTCCTAAGCAGTAGTAAAGCAAACCTAAAGTTGATCACTTCTGTAGTAATCTGCAAAACGATACAATTTAGATTAATGTAGCCTCTAATTGTGACCACATCTCAAGATTAATTTTATCGCTGTAGTGCTATCAGTGTCATGTCTTAAGAGGAAGAATCCATTTGGATCCTCTGGCAGAGCAGTGCAACCCTTTGTGATAGAGAATGGCACATGGAGGTGGATATCATGAAACCATTTCTGATCTCTTTCAGTGACTCTGGTCCAAAGAGTAGGGGGTAGCACAGACCCATCTATCCTTGCTACATAGAGTAACATCGCTTGACAATCAAACTCATATTTTTGATTCACAAAGCTAAGAAGTAGCCAATTTAAGTATAGATCCCAGTTTACTCACAGATGACTTCCTGTATTCAAACCCAGGATTTCAGTCGTTGCTAGCTCAGGTCAATACTGTGACCCCTGAGCCGCTCGGCCGCTCTACATTTATGACTGCGCGCAAGGTGAGCAGCCTGCCTACTTTCCAACACTCATAACTGCATGTGTCCTTCTCTGTTCCGCATACGCGTTGACGGTGAGAGCAGCGCGGCAGCAGGGGCGACGCGCTGGTGTCACTCGTGCGAGCCGAGTACGGTGCTACCCTGCTGGGGGAGTCGGCGAGTGTGCCGAGCGCTTCCGACAGCTCCGCGGAGTACGACTTCAGCGCCACGTTTGACTGCCTGTCCGATGGCGCCACTGGTCTGGACGACGTGGCTCACAAGCCAGTGCTGCGTAAGTCATTCAATCTCACAGTTATTATTAAGCAGAGGCCCAAACGCCTGTTACAGAAAGCAGCCAGAAATAAAGAGCACTAAACACGTTATGCGGAAGTCTTCATCCAGCAGTGGAATAGAATATTTACGATATTAATATTGACGGCTCTTTGTGATTCCATTGCTGGATGAAAGCCGCCCCAGGCTTTGGTTGTCAGGCCGGTTCTACCGTTTTTTATTACGCTGGTCAGCGCAGGTTGGGGAAGAGGTGGTCCAATACCAGTTCAGATATCACTTTCCACTGATGTCAGCTGTTTGCACATCGAAATACAATAACCATTTCGCCACTGCTCCGCTACAGTGTCATCATCACCACCATTATATTCACAATGTATTTCGATTCCAAATCGAACAATAAGAACACATTACATTACTTCATTGCCTTGCCTTGCAGTGATGGTGATTGAAGTGCTCTCTAAAGAGAAGAAGCAGAAAGAAGATAAGACTGTGGTGCTAGGCCAGGCCACAGTGGACCTCTTACCGCTTGTGCAAGGTAAGAGCCTGGACCTGTCACTTAGGATTTTCACTAATTCTTAGGGTTAAATTCAAGTACAACATTACTTTACCTTTCTAAGTTAAGTGGCCCAAGTATAGTTAAAAAAGGTCGAAATCTTTAGAGTTACATGACTTGATTTGAAGCTTTCGTGACTGCAGGAATCCATACTCTTTGGTTCTTTCGGTAAAGTCACGTAGGTAGAAAAATAAAATAAAACAAAAAAAATAAATCACGACGTTTCGATCGCAATACAAGCGGTCGTCCTCAGGCGGAAAAAATATAATCCGCCTGAGGACGACCGCTTGTGTTGCGATCGAAACGTCGTGATATATAATTTTTTGTTTTATTTTATTTTTCTACCTACGTGACTTTACCGAAAGAACAAAAGAGTATAGTTATATGACTTCTTTCAAAATAGCAAGGGAATTTGTAAGGTGATTTAAATGAAAACTAAATACTGTAGTACGTTTTTTTTATTACGGTTATAATACCAAAATAATTACATCGCGTCTAAAATGCGACCTCATCACAAGACACCACAGAGACAGTGGTCATACTTATTACTGTTCTCGCGTCACGTCTCGATTAGGTCAAACCAAGTACAGCGCAACCGTGAAGGTCTACCCAGTGGCTGGGTCATCTTTGGAGACTGTCTCATCTGAAGCAGACTTGGTAAATCCGACAATTACTGAACCATAACAAACCACAACAAATGTCTAAATGTCATTACTGTTGTTGAGTCGATGAGTCTGAATCAAATTATTTACATTTTGTTTTGTTAAATGTTTTTCTATTTCTTTTTGCCAACTCGCATCATTTTGCTTAGCTATGATATCGAGTTTGATTTGCATGTTGGTGAATATTCCTTTTTATCTGAATTCTGGCAAAACGTTAACCTTGGTTCCATCACCAACACTGTGGTAAATTCACCCAAAAGATGTTGCATCGTCAAGCTGTGAATCTGATTATTAACTTATAAAAAAGTTACTTTTTATTTTGATGAAAACAGTTCCTTTCTATCGAATTAACTCGGACAAACTTTTAAATACAGCCCATTATGTTGAGAGATAGTTGTAATCATTGTTAAATAGTTTCACAAGTTCATCATCATTAGCCATAATCTTTTCACGACTAGATGAAGGCTTCCCCAAGTTGTTACTCGTGTCCTTGCATTGCAACAATCCATGTAGCACCTGCACATTAGCTGCTTTCATCGTACCACCTTCACAGTGAAAGTCATCTCGGGTGTGTTCCCCCAATTGGCTGTCACTCCGTCATTGTTTTTAACTATTGGCCATCATTCCTGCGAAAGACATGTCCTGTCCGAGTCCGCTTACTTTTAATAACAGTCGGTATGATGTATTTAACTGGTGTATGTTATCTAATCCATGCCTCTCAGTGTAATTCCAAGCACATAGCTCTCCATGCTTCACCGTGTACTTTGCAGCTTTTATTTCACAAGTTAAAATGTACGAATCAAAATCACAATTCATTTATGCGTTTTCTCGTGTACTGCTGGTACTGTGAGCAGCCCAGCCTGGAGGTCTCCGTCTCAGCTCCAGAGCCTTTGCTTTCGGCCGAGCGCTTAGCCAAGAGCAACCTTCTCCGGATAACGGTGGAGTCGGCCTACGGGGTTCCGGCCACGTGGGCCTCTGTGGGACCCATGTGCAACTACACGGCCAGCCTGCCTGTGCCCATTTCTGCTGAGGTCTGCCTTGCGGCTCGTCTCATTCTCCATCTACGCATGTGTTCTTGACGTTGACGATAAAATCGATGATAATGAGAGGCAGTTTTATATGCTTGTATAATTCCATTTGTCATTCCATTGCTGGAGACCATACTGGTCGTGGGGGTGATTTTACTATACTACACCACGCTTGTCAGTGCGGGTTGGTGAAGGCAATAAGCATAGACGGGGGAGCATAGAAGTACGGTACAGCAATGAATTTTGCTGCGCTGCCCTCAACATAGCGCTGCAGCCCATAAGGCCTCGGTTTATATCTAAACAAGCAGTATCCACGCAGTCATTAACTCTGCATAGTCTACTAATGTGCGTATGGCTGACAACGCTGAGAGCACAAAGTATCTCATAACAGTATATGTGACGTGTCGACTGTGTGCATCGCCCCTATGTGTTTCATCCAGAAAGAGCACGTGAACGTGTTCGCCAACGGAGCGTTACGGCCGGCCTCTGAGAAGGAAGCGTCTGCCCGGCCAAAGCGGTGGCCTTTAGCCCACGTGCCTGTCGGGGGCCTCCCTTGCATCCCGGGTGCCATCATGCAGCCGAGCGCCTATGAGGAGGAGGACGGGGAGCTCGCGCACAAGGAGGTGACCGGGCGGTAGTGGGGTCGGGAGTGCAAGGGGGGTCACGACCTTCAACAAAGGCAGTTTCAATGTATATAGCATTTAAATGAAACTGCATCTCACATTGGTTTTAAAACATACAAAAAACTGCAATAGAGTGGAAAGGGTTATGGGTGAGTGGGGGTGGAGATGGATCAGAGCAAAGCAACTGGGGTTTGGCACCAACAGCAACAATCCTCAAGGACAACCGGGGCAGCTAGGGCAGAACCAGGTACCGAGTCCCAGTGGCAGCAGGGACAGTGGGGGTACATCACCAATGAGACACTCATTGTGTATACAGTGGGAGCTGTCTGCTCCACTGGTTGGACAGGAAGGCCTTCATCCAGCAATGGATTGCTTTGCTGTTTGTGTTGCTCAGGACTGGGATTTCCGCATGGAGGCAGAGAATGAGAAAACACGCGTGACCTGGGACATGGAGAGGCGCTGCTACATGGATCCAGGAGCTGTGGCCACGTGAGTAAAACTCAAGGCAGTAGCCAGGTGAATAGAATCAATAACACAATAAAATATATGTAAAACAATAAAATTGTTTCCCTTCAACGTGACTTTACCGAAAGAACCAAGAATATGAATCACTGCAGTCACGATAGCTTTAAATCAAAATTAAATGACTAACATGATGAAGTATTACCAAACAACCCTTATGACCAACACGGCGTATGGGAAGGCCTTCATCCAGCAGTGGATTGACAACATTGTAAATGATTACTAAAGATGTATGTGGAATGCGATATTCTCTTATTCCTGTGCAGCTTTCAGAAAAAAATAGCCGAGAGCCGGTTCTGGCCTGTGGAGGTTGCCAAAATCCAAATCCCCATGGCTGCAAAAGGAGGAAGGAGCAAGAGTGAAAAGGTTTGTAACGTGTTGTGTCTACTCACGGGTCTGTAGCACTTTCCAGCATGCGTTTATCCTTAGAAGTGTTTAATTGGTGATTGTAACATTACATTTCAAACAGCACAACGACACGATATCATGTGGCACATGATGTGTGATGCCACAAGATGACGTCACACATAATGATGTGATGACGAGACGAGTCACGTGCACAGTATGTGATACCATCACCATGGTCGCGAGGGCTTCTCTATTCAACGCTGGTTTTCCTCACCAAATTAGCCCCTGTTTTCTATAGAGTAAGTTCCTTTTAACAGCACGACATGATACATAGATTATTTTCATATTGGATCATCTTTAAGAAAGTTATAATGACCCCCCGCTGTAAACAGATATGGACAGATGGACAGAGCTCATGCATTATTGCTTGCAACCTTAGTTGGAAAACATAAAAAAGGACTGAAATATTTTGTATGCGCCGTGGCTTCATTCAGGTTGACGAGGACTCTCAAATTGGCTTTCACGGCGTCGCCTACGTTAACCTGGCTCCGCTGCTCTACCCCGGTGCCACGGTGGTGCGCGGTGCCTACCGAGTGCACCCCTACAGCGACGCCGAGATGCTCGAAAAGGTTTCACTCTGCCGGGTGCCCGGCACTTACTACTACGATGAACAATGCAACGGTATCTCTGGCACTGGGTTCGAATGCAGGCAACCGTCTGTGACTAAACTGGGTTGTCAAGTTTAGTGAGTTGACGGTCTCAGCCCGGTCAACAATTATTTGTGACAAAAATACAATTTTGTTCTGCACTTAATTTGGTTAACTTTCAGGTCTGAGAATGAAAAATATTGGTTTTTACTCTCATGCAACAAACATTACACATAGTGGAACAGAGGTCGGGAAAGTGCTATCCTCCTCTTGTGTGGATAAGAGGTCACTTTAAGAGATTTCAGAGTTAGCTCTGTGATATTCGCCTCCATGGGCCTTTCACTAACATAAATAATCGCACTTCTACAAGAAACTCAAATGCATCCTTCATCTCACGACATGTCACCGATAGCTCAGTCAGGATAAAATTAGGGAAGACAAAACTAAAATCCAATTATGACTTTGTATGGCCATTGAAGAGCAACTATAATAGATTTAGTTCTAAGTGATATAGCTATTAAATTACACTGTCTGAGCGGTGGTGAATTGCTGATACACCACCATAATTTTTACCTTTGGGGCATTGTGGAATTATAATGGTCCATGGAACTTGTCACAATGATCATTGCCTCTGTTGCGTTGGGGTCGCTCGTACGCAGACCAAGCGGACTGGGTTTGTGGTGCGCGAGGCCGCACGACTGGTGTGCAGCATCGGGAGGGGCACAGGGCCCGGCAGTATCGCTTCCCCGCACCCCAAGCCAGCGCCGAGTCGCCTGGGAAAGGAGATCATCAAAAAGGTGCCCATTGGCGGTGGCCAGTAATGGTCATGTCTTGACACAGCTAGCGCTGCCGAGATTCTGGGTTCAAATATGTGCGGCCAGCACTATTCACATGAAAATTCAGACTGCATTGGCTGTAGGGTGAGTGGTTATGACACTGTGCTTTGAACAGGGTGACCTGAATTCAATTCTTGGCTTTGGCTCATATCAGTGATGAGTAATATTAATTGGGTCCTAGACCCCCCTTCACCAACCTGCACTGATTAGCATGGTTAAATATGGTCAAACAACCCCCATGACCAACATGGCATGGGGAAGCCTTCAGCAAAAAAATGGCAAATGGTTGTAAATTTGTATTATTTTTTAATGACGTCACAAGTTCAATTATAAATGACAGTTATGTAGAACTTATTCCCACACTATCATATGAATTAGCTATCTAGTTAAGGTCCACTAAATTATTAATCATCACTCTCATCATGATCATCATCGTCATCATTTATCAGGGTTACTAACATGAGAACCACCTGGTGAAGCTGCTTTACTTGATATCAGCAAGTGTAGAGTGGTGGGTGTGTTGCATGGGGAAGAGTTCCAGCCATATGAATGTGCAATGTCCACCACTGCATGAGCCATAAATAAGCATTGTGTTATTGGTATACATTTACATCTGACTTTATTCATTTCAAATTGCTGTTTCTAGCAAAATGCTCATAATTTTTTTTTAGAGTTCAACAGTTAAGCATGTGGTCGACAACGAGTCTGAGTCAAGCATCATTCAGAACGCAGAGTCACAGGTATGCACTGTCCTTGTACATCCTTTCTAAATAACACAGCAATCAAGGATTTTGGCTAGCCATCAAACGAAGACGGTCACCGCATCACACGCTTTCGGATGCTCTTCTGCGGCCATCTGAAACGCTCTTCCTTCCGATATTAGGAAGCCACTGCAACTATGCACTTTTAAATCGAGATTAAAAACGAATTTCTTTAAAACTGTTGTTTGTATTTAGTTTGTTGTTCTTCCCCCGCACCTCTGATTAGTGCGTTTGGCTACGTATGGTGCAAAATAAGTTCAACATACATAACCTGCACTGTCTAGCATGGTGAAGTATGGTGACGCAATCCAGATGACAGTCATTGTTAACGATAATAATTAGTGACACTACATTGCTTCAAATTACATATATAATCACATTGCAATTGCTAGTGTATATCTTGTTAAATTCATAATTTTGGTTTGATTAATAATAAATAAAACAGCTAGGGCCTGTTTTACCACCATAAATCGCGTGGATTGATGATTTAATTGAGATATGCAAAATAGTGGCGGAATCGTTGGTTGTGATCTTGATTCTCACACCATATCTGTCTATAGCAATACCTGGAGGCTCAAACTTACATTGTGCTCGAGTTCTGTCTGGAGAAGCCACTCATTCCTAAGAGGAAGCCAGAGGAACTGGCTAAGAGGTGAGTCTGTGTGTGTGTATATATATACAGTACTAGCTGTACTACCCGGCTTCGCCCGGGACTTGGATCCACCACGCCCGGCCGCCTTTGTCTCCCCAGTGGCGATGTTCACACACCACATCAGTTAGTCGTTTGAGGCTGAATCGACCTAGGGGAGGCCCAGGACTGGTTAAAATAATCGTCACCGGTGGTGGCCGTGAGCGGGAATCGAACTCGGGTCACCGGGTTCGTAGCGCGGCGCGCTAACCACTACACTACAATGCGTTACGCTTCCACACAGACACACACACAGACACACACATACACAGCGTGCTTCCACTACACGACAATGCGTTACGCTTCCACATGCGCAGGTCACGTGACAGATTTGACGTCACAGCTCACTTGCCGTGCAAAAAATAAATGCATTATTGAGCTCCTCCCCCCCCCAAAAAAATATTGTACTTTTATAATTTTTGCATGGTGTACAGTCTGGAAAGTACCCACATGGCAAATTTTCAGTTTGTTGCATGTCGGGAAGTACGATATACATTTTGAACAGACACACATTCACAACTTTGCCTTATATATGGAGATGTACTGTATTATACTGTACTTATAGGAATAGGTTTTACCCTTTTAACTGGCACAAAAACTGATACCTTTATTCAAGGCATCATGTTTGCAATGACCACAACACAAGCAGTCAAAATGCAAACAAAAAAAGACAACTCTGATAATAATATGCACTGTCCTTGAATTTGATTGGTCCACACCCGAGACAGCTGGTCCACACCCGAGACAGCTTTTCTTAGAGCCTAGTCTCCATTGGTGTTGGACCAGAAGACGCCAAAAGGCGTACAACTCAAAAACAGCGCACTCTGATAGTGCACTCTGATAGTGCGCTGTTTTTGAGTTGTACGCCTTTTGGCGTCTTCTGGTCCAACACCAATGGAGACTAGGCTCTAAGAAAAGCTGTCTCGGGTGTGGACCAATCAAATTCAAGGACAGTGCATATTATTATCAGAGTTGTCTTTTTTGTTTGCATTTTGACTGCTTGTGTTGTGGTCATTGCAAACATGATGCCTTGAATAAAGGTGTCAGTTTTTGTGCCAGTTAAAAGGGTAAAACCTATTCCTATATCTTGTTTCTGGCAAAGGAGGTCTCATAATGTTAATGCTCACCCCGAGCCCTCAATACTCTGATAGTGCGCTGTTTTTGAGTTGTACGCCTTTTGGCGTCTTCTGGTCCAACACCAATGGAGACTAGGCTCTAATAAAAGCTGTCTCGGGTGTGAACCAGCTGTCTCGGGTGTGGACCAGCTGTCTCGGGTGTGGACTAATCAAATTCAAGGACAGTGCATATTATTATCAGAGTTGTCTTTTTTTGTTTGCATTTTGACTGCTTGTGTTGTGGTCATTGCAAACATGATGCCTTGAATAAAGGTGTCAGTTTTTGTGCCAGTTAAAAGGGTAAAACCTATTCCTATATCTTGTTTCTGGCAAAGGAGGTCTCATAATGTATACTGTACTTATTACTGTATGGGGGAGTGGTAGCGTAGCGGTTAGCGTGCTGCGCTACGAACCCGGCAACCTGAGTTCGATACCAGGTCAAGGCCAACACCAGTGACAATTATCCGTACCGGTCTTGGGCTTTCCCTAGGTCAACTCAGCCTCAAATGAGTACCTAGTGCGGTGTATAATCATCGCCACTGGGAAGACAAAGGCCGCCGGGCGTGGTAATGGTCAGACATCTCCTCGTGTGCCGTGCTGGTCTTCATATGTGCTCTCTAACAACACTTGCCCCAACAGTATGTTAAGGCTATACGGGAAATCTTTGTCTTTGTATGTAATATGGTTGAAACCTGTCTGGGTTTGACTTGCTCGTTTGACCCAGACCATCTGGGATTTGACATCTGGGAATTGGTATCTGTGCTTGTACCAAGATTAGTGCTAATTGTGTTGAACCTTATTCCAGTGTAGAGTCGTGCTTCGTGATGCCCTGTAGGATTGTAGACTCAGACGAAGACCAGGGTTGAATATTCAGGGCTGCTTGCCGTTTATTCACGCCAACATCCGCACTCTTCGTTCCGTCGCGGGTACTCACCACTCCCTGTCTCTTAGCCCTCTCTCCCGACTCCCTCGACCTTCGTCCAGGCTACCTCGTACTCTTCCACCCGTAGCCTCCTTCGTCTCTCTGGCCCAGGAGCCTTTCTACCTGCTACATGGCTCCTCTCTCCCTGGCTCTCCTTTGTCTATGATCCCTCCCCTTCCATCCAGGTTCCCCTTTTATCCCCTTAGCCCAGACTCCTCCCTTTTACCTGACTCTCCTCCTTCTACCTGGCTCCCCCACTAGCAGACATCTCACTCTTTCTACTTACCTTCCTCTCTCGCCCTTCTGGCACTCCCCTTTTTGCTTGGCCCCCTTCCCGCGGTTGGCTCTCTTTGGGTCCTCGCAGTACTCCTCTACAACAGTATACCACACAGTTCAGATAGACCTAGGCTGACTTGAGAAATATGTCTGGGTTTGGTTTGTGGAAAGGTTATTCTAAGTTCATGAGTGATTGGTTTTGGGACTTTGCAGTTTTCATGAAAACATGTAAAGGGTCCTCAAACAGAGAGATGGACTTGATGCTTCTCAGGCATAACAATAACCTGCTTACAGGAACCCTTAAATCGACAACTAAAACAATTGTGATGTACAATCAACGTCAAACCAAAAGTGTAAAGTACTACCGTCGTCTTGTGTCTCACCGCAGGGTGGCGGATCTCATTCCGCCAAGACCACCGATGCCTCGCAGGATTGCCAGTGCGCAGCAGGTGCTAAAGCAGCAGCAACGGCAACTTCCATGCACCCATTGCCAATTCAAAACCAGAGACACGGGTAAAGGTGGCGATGAAATGTGGACATGACTTCGGTTCTGGCGTCCGCTGCCCACAGGCGGTGAGCGACTATCACGACCAGGTGGCGAAGGTGGCATCGATGGTGCTTGATGAGTTCCGCGCGATGTTCCCCGAGTGGAGTGGGGTCGAGGGGCCGCAGGATGATCCCGAGGGGCAGGAGAAGCGCAAGCGCCGTCTCCTGTACGAGCTCAACTCTTCGGGAAAGTACTTCGCCTTCAAGGAGCAGCTCAAGGTGAGGAAGGGTGGCCGTGTAATATCGTCGTTTTTCCACTTTTGCGTACATGTGGATGTATGTTTGTTGTTTGTAATGAGTGGCAATGGGTATGGGCATAGCAGCCTTTTGTTTATCAAGTGAAATGTTTTACGGATGCATTATGAAGCATTCGTGTAATTGCCAAGACAAGGGCATAGATCCCTTGTATCACTATAATAGACTGTTGGGGCAAGTGTTGTTAGTGAGAACTTCTATTAAGGCCAGTATGGTGTATGAGGCGGTGGTGTGGCCAGCACCATGCCCACTTGCCTTTTGTTCCCCCAGTTCTGATGTTTACAAACCAAGCAAGGTACTCATTTGAGGCTAAGTCGACCAAGGGGAGGCCCAAGACTGGTTCAGATATTCACCGCTAATGTTAGCCATGGCCGGAAATCAAACCCATGTAGCCAGATTCGTAGCGAACGTGTACTAACCACCACCCCACCGCTCACACGTGTATGAATCACGTAGAATATAATAAACGACAACAAATTACAGGGTTATTACCAGAGGATAAATTACGCCAAGAGGCGCGGCAGTATTTTTTCATCCAGGGAGACACTCATGCTCAGGCCGGGACTGACTGAATGAATGTAAGAGTGAATAAATGAATGAGGTTTGAGTGAGTGAGTGAGTAAGTGAGCTGATGTTCTCATCCATGCAGCAAGCCGTGGTGAAGATCGTTCGTGAAAAGTACTTGAAGACGACGGCGTTTGAGGACCGAGATGAGCTGCAGGCCTTCCTAGGCGAGCTCTACATCTTCCTCATCGACCAGATGCACGTCTCTCTCAACAAGGTGTGGCTGCGCATGCTGTGGCAGCATGCTCACGCTTTGCGACACTTACATCATTATCATCGTCATCTTATATAATTTTTTTTGGTAGCATTTTACCCCAATTTTATCCCAAATGTGCTATCGGTGTTATGTCATGAAAGCGCCATGACAACCAATGTGTAAACGCATACGATGTAACAAAATAGAGGTTCAGTATCCTTCCATTTCCTCATACAATGCACACGAGTCATTGTTCACAGCTGGGACAAAGCCCATCATGTGTACAAGTGGGTGACACTCAAAGCTGCGGTGCCACCTCAGTGGTGTGAGCGCTGCTCGTTACGTGTGCCCAGTGTGCCAGTGACGCTGCGTGGTTGGCATGGCACTTTGGTGCATGAAATGGGGGGGGCCCTTTCTGCTTCCTCCTTCCGTGTAGCCCGGCACCTGGGCTCCTCCATCCGGTACAGTCGCACCGCCTGCATACTTGCTACCTGCGCCACTAACATGTGACCCTCTGCGCACCATCACACGACATCCCCTCTGCAGGTCATGTCGACCGATTCCGCATTGTTTGTGCCCGAGTCGCTTACGGACTCCGTAGAACTGCGGAATTACGCGCGTGAAGCAGAGCTCAATGGAGACTCAGCGCTGGCGGCCAAGTACTACCAAGAGGTGAGCGGATTCGGTGAGATGCATGCGGCGGCACTGCAGCTTGTGTGATCCAACAACTTTGGATGTAGGGTCGGTGGATGACACGAGGACAAACGCTTTTGCTGACGTTCCGCAAAGTGGAATTAATTTTATGAACAAAGCCTGGCTGAGTCAAGTTTCCACCTGGGAATTAGTTAAAGGACTTGCTCTCCCAGGTAAGGAAGAGCTTTGGTGCAGTGGTTAGCACACGAGTGATGTCTGAACCGGTCCTGGGCCCCCACTACATCAACCTGCACTAACCAGCTCGGTGACTGACCTAACATGGGGAGACCTTCATCCAATTAACATGAAGAACGGATCTCTTTTTCATGATATTTTTGTTGTCGAGGGTCAGTAACTCATCGCTCATGGGACCGCTAACACGTCGGCAAGTGAAACGATTACTTCAAGAAGCACGACTGGCTACGTACTTTGCAAAAGAAGTTCAACATACATACGTACAAAAAGCAATTAAACCAGAAGACACATTCAATGTCTTTACCCCCATTCTCCATAAGTAAACAATAACAATTGATTTGTTAAAAGGTCAATCCGCACCCTGCATCAACGTGCTGACAGGCATTTGTACGGTTTTGTTGCCTAATTTAAACACATTTTACATTTATCCATTACCCTCATTAATTGAGACTTGACGGTAGCCGGATCGCGGGGGGTGGAGGTGAATCGTTCCGGCGTGCGTGACTCGCAGAGGCTGGCTCGAGACAAGAACAACCCCGACCACTGGTTTGACTACGGCGCGTTCTGCCTGCGCTCCGGGGATTCCATCAAAGCCGAGGAGTGTTTCCGCGATGCCGTGGCGCTCGACCAAAGACACCTGGACAGGTTCGCTTTCCTGGGTTGGACACCGGCCTGTGAGATGAGATGCTGCTCGTTATATTCGTTTCCACACAGTTTGCTCTGGTTTTAGCTGAAGTGGGATGTGAAGGCATTGTCGCTCCGTGATATTACGACTACTGCATGGATAGCATGGCCATTAGCATGGCTTCATTCGAATTGGCGTCTGTCTGGGTTGGTGACGCGGAAAATATGTATGCACCCGGCACATCACATCCAGTATACCACTCACTATGGCTGTGGCTACTAGTTGCGTGCCTACTGCTGTCTAACCAGTGATAAAATTAAGCCCGGCTTATGTGTTTCATTAGTAGTTGTGCAATGTATTAATATCGTCTGTTTAAGGTAATGAAATTGTTCAAATGTTTATATTCAGATAAATGTGTTCGTATGAACGTGAAAATAAAATGTTGTATTTTGATTATTGGCAACAGTTTTCAGACGGTGTCAAAAGTTTTCTTACGTTTGTTTACATAAAAAAAGTGCTTCAAAGTGTCAACTCGGTGAGGAAAATACCAATAAAACAATTGTCGATACCACTAAGTAAACCTAAATACCGAATAAAAGTAAACAAACTGATGATGTGGTTGAAATCTTGGTGGCAGCCCGCTCACTGAATAGAGTGCAAGTGATGCAGCTGTGTGCATGCTCCTCGGGCTGTGTCTCATCTCGGCTTGGCAGCTTAGTGATGTGCGGCGTGATGTGCAACAAGAAGGAGCGGTATGACGAGGCGGAGACTCTGTTTGAGAACGCCACCTCTGTCCACGCGAGCAGCTCTCTGGCCTGGACCATGCTCGGTGAGGAAACATCGTACCACGATCGTCATTGCTATCAGCATTGTTTAAATTTTTATTTGACCTGTTGTATATCCGACGGTTACAGGCGAGAGGACACTCGGTGGGAGACGATCTGTGGGTTGTGTCCTCTGGGCTCGTGACTCTTTCCTGTATGGTGTGTGCTCATATGAGGGGGGAACATTTTGTAGTTAAGTGGATGGTGGGAGTGGGTGGAGGGGGTGGGCGGTTGGGGGGAAAAATGTTCCAGGGCTGGCTACGAGGTCTAGGTGACCCTATTCTCAATCACTTTCCCCCTGTCCGTGTCATCATGATTGTTAGTATAATTGTCACAGCTGTCATCATTGTAGTCGGCGTTGTCACGATCATCTTCATTGCCACCATCGTCGTCATCGGCATCATTGGAATAATTTTTCTCGCCATTATTATCATCGGCGTCAACTATATCATTGCTGCAATCATTGTCACCGTCATTATCATCGTCACCAACACGTTCATTGTCATCGCGTTCTTTGTGTCATTAAAATAGGTATCTTAATCTACTAAACTAGAGGTACACCTTTATATCCCCTTCAAGAAGTATTTATCATTTAACAATTAAACTTGAAATTCTTAATCCTCAGAGCTAAAATAATGAAAGTCAAGTGAAAAATCTCATTTAATATGGTAATTGTTTTGTGCAGCCATTGTTGACCAGGATGAGCGCTTGAGAACACAGTGTTTTTTTAAGGTGGCTAAAACCAAAATTCGAACCCAAGATCTCAGCATTGCCTTCTCAGCGCTCTGACATTATATGAGCTTCCTGATTTACCCGGCCACCTCATGTTTACGTTACTTTCAACAACAGGGCTGTTTTATGAGGGACAAGGAAATGACATCCGTGCGGACAAGGCATTCTTGGAGGCTCAGCGGCAGAGTTCTGCATCTGTGATGATGGTGAGGATGGGAGGAAGAGGAGAGACGCCGCATGTGCAGGAGTCAAGCCGGCTTCCAGCTGATGATGAAACTGCACTGCTCGAGGGCACCACTGTCAACGTCCCACGTGAGACATTCTCAATATTACATTGATGGCACTGAGAAATATTTGCAGCTACGGCGCTAACACGAGTGGCAAATAAGGGTACACACTTTTTAGCGTTTCAATAAAACATTTTTCGATAAATGACCCTTGTGTGAATGAAGGAGCTTATATTTATATTGTCCTTCTGTTGTAGTCGTTGCAGAATGTCAATGTTAGCTGAGCAACTCTATCTGATGCAATTTTACAATCTTAGCTGATGGTTTGATTTCTGGAGATACTAAGAATCACACTCTCATAATTACTGGCAACTCTTCCTCTGTGATTGAAAATGTTACCACTTTTCTGAAGTATGGAGTTCACGCTACTTCTTCTCACCTCACTGACGCCAACCATTTCCCAATTAATTTCTTTCCATTATGTCTCCAGTTCGACATGGTCTGACTCTTCAGATAATGAAGGAACTTCATTTAAAATGTGGGTTTTCGCAGCCACGTCATGTCACTTGTTTAATAAACAATAATACATTCGAACAATGTTCCCGTGGCACAGACGAGGAGCCGCAGGAGGCGATGGAGCCATTGCGAGGGCATAGCTCGGGCACCAGCCTCCTCACACGGACCCCGTCGCTCGACCCCAGCAACGCCAAGCTGAGCGGCGTTGGAGACACAGCCGACGAAGAAGCCACCGCCGCGGCCACCACAGCCGGTGGCACAAACGCGGGGCGAGACGACTTCAACAATGACAAAGCCAACGGCGGGGCCAGCACAACCGATGGAAACACGTCGGTCATCGCCGCAGGTGCCGAGCAGCCTGGCCTTGAGCCGCCCCCCTATTCCGGTGGCACCGACTGATAGCGTTTTCCTCCACAGTTCCAACGGTGTTTTACTCGAGGGGAGCTTGCATCGCAGGAGCAATTCACTGTTGGTTGATTAGCGGTAACTTTCACAATCCTTATGAAGGTGACATACTGTGTGGTGACAGGAAGGGCTTGTCCACATGAAGCCCCTGAGGCACAAGGCAACAATATTGGCTATACTATATTGATGAGTCCTAACACGCAGTGGGAGTTCTCGGGACGAAGATAAGTAAAGATTATACTGGTAGGAACGAAGTTGTAAACTGAGTGTACCAGCCTGCAATAGATTAATGTGTCCGTCCGTCCGTCCCCTTTCAATACTTTAACGAAGTGAAAAATTCCAATGATCCTACCAGCCCACGCTGCAGGGACCTGTTATTGCAGGAGGACCTCGCTGTCGACGGGTTTAGTAATTGAATGACCGTGACAGGCCCTCTAAAAACTGACAAAGGCATCTGCGCTCTCGTCCAGCAGAGGGCAGCGTGGGCATGCCTCCTGGCCGAGAGTCGAGCGCCACACACGCTGCTCCTACCACGAGTGGCAGCGAGCAGGCGCTGGCTGGACGCCTGGCGGCGGACGTGGCAGCGGTGCGGGAGATAGGACAGGGAGCTCCGCAGCCTACGGCTTCTGCTTCCACCCCAGCACCGGCTTCTACCAGCTCTATCTTTATGGAGGCAGCTCGCTTTCTCCTGGATGCTGGCGCTATCCAGGTTACCATTTTCAGCATCATTAATGTTACAGCCATCATCACTGTCATCATAATCATCATTGTCACCATGATTGTTGTCATCATTAATATCATCATCGCTGTCAATCAGTATTGTGGTCACCATCATAGTTGTCATCGTCATCGACATCATCATTATCATCCTCATCATTAATAACATTATGATTGTAATCAGTGTCATAATATAATCATTCATAATTATAGTCGTTTTAGTTTATTAAGTGAAGTGCCTACCATTAATATGGTGATATTTACCTACGAATAATTAAATAAAGAGGCGGTAGGATCATTTTTGGAAGACTGAACTTAATACTGAAAAGCAACCAATGTTCCTAAAGAAGAAATGTTTTTCTCACCATTCTAGACAAATCTGTGGCTCTCTAATAAATGATGAAAAACTTATCAGAACAATTAAAGCATGTGTATTATACACTCAGTGTGATGATTAAGGGGAGCAGTGGTGTAGTGGTTAATGCAGTCATTAACCCACTGAGCTATCAACCTTGCTACCTCAGTTTAATTCCAAGCTTTGGATAGCAAAAATCAATGATTATGATATCCGAAGCAGTCCTGGGTCTCTACTCCAACACCCCCCTCTCCTGTCTTCCCACTTTACCAACCGGCACTGACCAGCTTGGGGAGGCCCTTATCCAGGAGTGGATTGACAGGAGCCTGTCAAGCGAACTTAATTTATTATGGTGATGACACATGGCATGCAAGACATGGTGCATGGGAAGAATCCTACGATCACATTCTTCCGTTTTGCTGTATGTAAGTTGAACTTCTTTCCCACTGTACGTAGCCAACTGAACTAATCGAAGGTGCGGGAACAGTTCACCAACATTCCGGGCAATTGTTACTGTTAATTGTTTTTTTTGTATTACAAGCTGGAAGGTTTCCACGCTATTTCACACCATGCAAAGTCGTGTGCCTTCTGCAATGCACTCATTCACAGAGCAACTGAAAATTCCCAGTACTGTCGGCAATCACAAAAGCGGCAAGTGAGTTGGGATTGCGTCCACTGTTTTCAACTATAACTATTTTGCTAGAAGCAGGGTGATTCCGTTTATAAATACCATCATGATTTCTTCTAGTAATACTCTCACGTTCATCTCATGTTGATAAGTCACCTTTTGCGTTGTGATTATTGTGCTCTTCTTACCGTTAAAGAATTTAGAAACATGCGTTTAGATTATTTTGCTGCTATAAATTTCCACGTGGTAGCGACTTCGCTCAGCTATCATTTGTGGCTAGGTCGCTTCTGAAAAGAAGCTAATAGCTCAGTGGGCTTTACCTGGTAAGATAAAATAGTTTATTTTCATTTGAAGCAATTGGCGGCTCCCCGGGGTCCCATCACTGCCCCAAGGTGGGAAAACCCGTGTAGCAACACGAGTCTTGCCTTACCGACAACAAAACTAGTGTCAATCGATTGGCCTCGTCGAGAGCTACTCGGGGCACTAAGTTTCGTAAAAAGTTGAAAAATTACATAAACACGTTAAATTCACTGCCTGGGGGGGCGGGGCTCGCCTTGGCAAAGAAGCTGAGGATCGACGGCTGACCGGAGAGCGTTGTCGCCGTGCGCGACTGCGGCGGACGCCCCCCGGGGCTTGCGTTTGCCCGGTGGGGTGGCACCCATCGTGTTGATCGCCGCCTGCTGGCGCTTGTTGGCGCGAGTCTGGGCGGGCGGTGCGTTGCTGTCGGGATCACGAGTGGGCGGACTGAAAAATAATAGTTATTGACCTGATTTTTGCGGGACTCCGGGGTCCCGCCAAATGATTCATTTGTATATATTTTTTGAGTGATTTGTTTACCTTTCCTATACTGTGCACTCCTATTGTGTTTTTGTTTTGTTTGTTGTTGTAACGTTCTGACCCCGTGCCCCGACTGGACATATGTGAGAAAGCTTCATAGCTCATCGGATTCCTCCAGTATCAATAAATATTCCGATTCTGTTCCAGCTCGCGGAGCGTGCCTTGGCGCTGGAGCTGGTAAGTGCCGGCGGGCGAGAGAGCGGGCGCTACTGCACGGCGCTGGCGCGACTGCTCATGCTGCGTGGGGAGGTGAAGGAGGCGGAGGTGGCGCTTCGTGACGCCGTGTGGCTAGACCACCAGGTGATGTTGAAACACGTCCCCTTTAGCTCCGACGCTGGGTTTGGCTGTTTAAGTTCTCTCATCACAACTGCCGTCGTCATAATCATCAATCACATATCGATGTCGGAATCTGTCGTATGTTGGTGTATGTATCTTGCTGAACTTATTTCGCACCGTATGTAGCCAATTGTGCTCATCGGAGGTGCGGTGAAGGACAGCAAATTGAACACAAAAAGCCATTTTAGGCCAATTGGGATCATCTGAGGTGCAGAAATGGGAAACAAAAGCTCATGTGTATAAGGAAGCATAGAGAAAAGCATGCTGGGAATTGGATTGAGAGACACGGACAGGAAAAACGTAAATCACTGAACAAATGCAAATTAGACATTTAGTGAATGTTCACAAAAGTAAGTGAGTTTGGGCAGGATACGTCACGAGAAGAATGGATGATGATGCCCATTGGTCGAGACTAACAACGGAGTGGCAGCCGAGGGAGAGAAAGCGCCCGAGGAACTTTAAACTTGCGTGACATCGCCGTGAGTGGCCACTGTCTCTTTCCCCGCACCCCCCTCCCTCAACCCCTCTGACCAACTCACGCTGTGGTCCCACCACAGGACCCTGACGGCTGGGCCCAACTGGGTCACGTGTGCTTGTTGACGGGGCGAGTGGGCGAGGCCAAGGATCATTACCAGCGCACGCTGAGCTTCACGAGCGACGCGTCGGACACGCGCGCCGTGCTCATGCGCCTGGCCTCCATCTACACGCGAGACACACAGGTACCTAACTAATAAACAATTTTTTATTCCACCAGGAAAGGCCCACTGAGCTATATAGATATTTTTCAGAAGCGACCTGGGTATCACAATGATAGCTCAAAGAAGTGGCTTGTCATCATTTGGAAATGTATCGCAGCCAAATATTCTAAACACACATTCTAAATGTGGAGGGAAAACTCGGAGGACCCGGATAAAAATCCACGCAACCACGGGTAGAACACGCAAACTCCAAATATACAGGCGTCAAGGTTGGGATCGAACCAATAACTCCCTGTATACCAGGCGAGGTAGTTAACATCTTGCCACCGTAGCACCCCTGGTGATGGAGCACAGGTCGCCCACCCATTATCGTTCCTCCCACTGCCCCTTGCTGCTGGCTTGCTCCTTCCTCTCGCCTTGCTAACAAAGCAGAATATGGAAATAATAACGAGCAAAGGCACGCTGCTCACAAAGAATAAGAAGGCATGACTCCCATTATGCCTTGTGTGCGTGTCATGTGACCACCACATTGCATGTATAATGCTGTCAGCCTTGTCTTAACCACTGACTTAATGTCGCTTAAAGTACGCCTGAATTCTTGTGTAGACCACCAGTTTATAAGAGTTGGTAATGTGACCATTCCATTCTGCACCTATTTTTCTATTGTGATGAGTTTTTTCATCATTCACAGAATGCGTTTGATTTTAATTAGAGCACGGTGCAAAGTGAGTCCACTCAGAGGTGATTAGCTCGTTCTGTGAGTGAGCCCCCCTTTAGGACGGCGCGTGGAAAGCATGGGGCACCTCGCGGGCACAGCGACCAACGCACAGTTCCCCCTTTGTCATGCAACGTAGATTACAACCCTTCCCTTGGCGCTGTATAAAAACATTCCTTACATTAACGCATAAATCCGCGCGTGCTTTTGCATTGACGCCGCCATTGTCATCTCCGCGGATGGCGACTTAATGTGGATTTTTTTTACCCCCATTTTTGCACAACTCCCGTGGCAAGGTGACCAAAGCGACATTGTCCCATTCAACCCGCCGCGGCAGGATGACGAGATTAAGCCTGAGCCTGCACCCCCACTTATCACGGCGGCACGAACATCTGATTTTTGAATCGCAAAACTGTTTACCGCGGGGCGTCCGTCGTTAACATTCCCGCGAATGTTTAGCTGGGTTTTATATATCCGTGGATACGACTGCCTTTAGAAGGCTAGGAAAGCGTATCCCCCGATGAGGCCATCGCCACAGAAATAGCGCGCTTGCCCGCCGGCCAGGCATGTGATGTCACTCGAAACCGAGAGGGGTGATCAGGGTGATCGCACGCCGGTCCCGATGTCCCGCAGCCATCTCCACCGCCCCCCTCCCCATCCCGTGGCCCCGGCAAGCCGACCCCGGGCACGCTGGCGACGTGGTAACCGTAGCCGGGCTGCGGAAGAGCCGGGTCACCCGGTCGCACGTCGCTTGCATGCCTCTGGATGTGCGGTTGTTAATGATGGCTTGGGGTTTTATGGTCCTGCGAAGATGCGTGCACTGCCACTGCTCCCACTTGCTACTAAATTACTGTTGCCACCTCCACTAAGTAACCGCTGTGTTTATGCATTTAATGCAGAGTGGTTATTATGAGCAGCGACCAATTATAAATGTTTGGTTTCTTTCAAAATGCAGCTAACTTATTGATATACCCTTGACCTTGCTAAAAACAACTCTGGTTTGAAAAAAGTGTTGAGTAAAGCAGTGAAGCTCTATAAATAATAAACATAGTGCATGACGTGTCCTGAGTTATGGATAATACAATAACAAATGATTATGCGCTGTCTTGGTCTATTATGAGTTATAAAGTAGCATTATAACGTCAAACTGAAATATCCCCAAGTTGTGACTTGAGCACTCCTGTCTATAATGTCAGGTAACCTGGCAACGTTTGTTCAACTTGCCACACCCTGATGATGATAATGAAAGTTGAAACCGCTCCCAGGGTTTGTCCATCACGAGGTTGCAACTTGTGACCGTCTCTATCTGACAAAACAATGCTGCTAAATACATTGGTCTGGAAAGGCCTGGTTGAATGTTTGGCATTCGCATTTAAACGCACCCTTACCTGTGGAATTCTTCATGATGTATATAATGTAGCGTGCTTACACAAATATTAGATACAAAATTATTAAATGCTAATTTACGATCTTTTCCGAATATTGTACCGATATATTACCATTTATAGTCTCTACGTTTTGGGTGGGGGGGGGAAGGGGAAATTAGAAGCTTGATACAAATCCATTGTTCTCCTGTAGTATGTTAACACAGCTACGCTCCCTGCCTTCACCAACCCACATTGACCAGCAGGATGGAGTATGGTTAAAACAAATCCCACGACTCACACGGCATGACGAAGGCCTCATCCAGCAGTGGATTGAAAAAAGGGCTGCAGATGTACATGTGCGAGGCTGGGGTGACTCACTTTGTCGGTATTGTTTGTTTCACAGTTTGAGGAGGCCAAACAGGCGTATCTCCATGCCTGCAAGCTGTCTCCGTCCTGCTTGTCGTGGCTGGGCGTCGCCATCACCTGCTACAGGGTCAGCCGCAACGTTTACGTTTCTTGGCAACTCTTTACATTAATCTGATATACGCTACAATAACCCGTCCATCCTTCCTGCCTCGATCCGATCACAGACCGCGAGATCGACTCTTCTATGCCACAGGGCTCTGTCTTCAGCAGTTCTTGAACGCCACGGTGGCAAGATGCTAACTAGCTTGCCTGGTATGCAGGAGGTCGTGGGTTTGATCCCGACCCTGACACCTGCATATTTGGAGTTTGCATGTTCTCTCTGTGGTTGCATGGATTTTTCTCCGGGTTCTCTGGTTTTCCCCTCCACATTTAGAATCAACGTGCGTTTAGAGTATTTGGCTAAACGATAAGCCACTTTGTTGAGCTATCATTTGTGGCCAGGTCGCTTCTGAACAAGAGCTATACAGCTCAGTGGGCCTTACCCGGTGAAATAAAAAATAGTTTAGTTTTTAGTTTTATACCACTGCTATCCCCTTTCCAATGTCCAACTGAGCCGTGACGGAGCTATGCCGGGCCAGCTGATGCGGTTCAGGAATCGGCAGCTTGTTTTTCTGCCGCAAAACCCAAGCGATGCCACCAACGTTACACACAGTTAATTAGCATAAAATGAAAATTATATCACCCTGACCCTACTTTGCCCCCGATTCAGAGGCCAGAGTCTCCCCAGTATGATTCTGGCTTGGCTCAAGAAAGTAAGCGAGTGAAAAAATGAGCTGTACTGACGGTCCCACGCCAGCGCAGCTCAGATGAGCCAACGTAAAAGGGGCATTATAATTCCCATGCCCTTTACGTTGTGCCATGAAATTTTACTTGGTTGTTCCCCCTCGTGTGCCGCTGGCAGCTGGGAGAACTGACCGAGGCGGAGGACGCCCTGGCTGAGGCCAACTTCCTCAACAACAGCAATGCGGAGGTGTGGGCCTACCTGGCGCTTGTGTGTCTACAGGTGAGCTCCTACTTCTGTGGCTCTTTCAGTAAACTATGCCATTCGGGTCGTGGTAGGGAATGGGAGGCTATTTGACCATGCTTTATTGTAGTAAAATTAATACAACTTATGAAACGCATTCAATTTTTTTCTTAAACTTCGGAGCCGCAGACTCGAGTTGGCTCGAGAAGTAAACGCAGTATGGCGTGGACTTGTCAGATTGATGGTGCCTAATTGGCCTCATTAAATGGCCCTGGGGTGGGATTGGACCCCGACGCTGCCAAGAATCAACCCCAGGCGCCCCCATGACGCCAATGTGCACGCGACCAAAACCTCCGTTGTGAGCCGCCCCGCTCTCCGCTGTGCCGGTCACTCGCCCTGCATTTTACGATCTCCCCATGCGATGCCTCTAATTGCCCCGATGATCTCCGGTCATCTGTCGGTCGCTTCCCTCAATCTTTATCAGCCTTTGTTGGCTTTAGTCTCTGTGCCTCTCTGTATGAATCTTTCTATAGATATAAAACATTTGCTTTGATTTCTAAAAAGAGCCTCACTGAGTCTGAAGACCCATTTTGAGAAGGGAATTGTTTTTTTTTCCTGCCAAGTCGGCTTTCTCTTTGCTCATATGTCTTTTTGTCTGTCTATTTGTCTGTCTGTTTAGCTACCTGCATGCCTGCTTGTCTGTTTATCTGCCTGCCTATCCAACAAAACACCTGCCTACTTGCCAGTCCATCTATCTGCCTGCATGTCTGCCTACACAGCCAAACATTTATTTATTTCTCCCTCCCTCACTCTTGTCAACATTTGTTTTCATTTTACTCCCAAGTGCATCTTGTGCATCGACACAAACGACCATCTGTGAAATTTTTGCACGTGTACACCGCAACGATGACGATAACGGGAGGTGAGTGAGACGGGAGGACAGGTAGCTTCCTCCTCTCCCGCGGTCAGCGGCAGTGGTGGTCCTGCTCCGCGTTTTCCCGCCTCCGTCAAATGGGATTAGGCCGCTTCCTCGGGCGTCTGTCAGCAGCGTGGTTGGGGGTCCCCGCGCAGCCCCTCCCCGTTTTCTGCACGGCCGTCGCTTTCTCACCGAGCGCTGGCCCCTGCCCTACCGCTCGCTGGCTCTGGAGGCCTTGGCACCATGGGGTTTATTTGGGGGATGAATGAATAAACGAGGGCTCTAGGCTGTGGGAGTGCTAGTGATGATTGTACGGGGGTGAAGAATTGCAGGAGCCCAGCAGTTAGCTCACTCGCCAGTGAGCCAATTTGCACGGGGTTGATGGTCTGATTGCTCTAGCCTGCCCAGGATATGCTGCCGGGCGCTGTTATCACTGAAAACTACCTTCATGATCTGACATGGACATTTCAAAGTTCGTGTGATGTCTCCTGCGATGTTCTAGAGTTGAGTCATGGCTCAAATCTCCAATTATAAAATTGTCTCTGACTATAATAGTCATGCCATTGTCTCAAAGCCACAACGAATCTAGACTCGTTTTTATGAGCCCCCTGCTGCATTGGGATGTTTGGCCAAAACCATTAATGAAAGTTTGAGGAAGGAAATTGGACTACCCAGAGAAAACCCACCATGCAAAGAAGAGGGTTACCCTCAAATCTCCACACGAATAAATTCAAAAGTGAATTCCTGCACTGCCATCACTTGGCCACATCGCAGCCCAAGCCTACAACACTTATTGTTCCCAGACAATCTCCCATTCAAATATCTAGGATCAATTTTTCTTGGTTTCTGAGATCTGAGGATTAGTTGATTAATTCTGAACTAAATTCTGAAGTGGGAGAGTAGGCCAAATACCCTTTCGAGGCACTTTCTTGAGCTTCCTCTAGTTAAGGCCCTTCTGCTAGCAGTGATGTGAGCAAGTAATTTCAGGGCTACAACTTTACCTTTCCGTATTATAATGTGTATTCGGCCAAGGTTTTTTCTCTCTCTCTCTTTCTCAGATGGTAGTTGGCCATTGTGTGCCGAGCACATCTCCACTCCACCGCCCACCCCCTCCCCGTAACCCCACCGCTAGGACCCCACGGGTTGCCCTGACTCCCTCCCCCACCGCCCTCCCAACTCCCCGCGCCCGAGGGCAGGCCTGGCTCACACGTTGTCACCAGGCCCACTTCTCAGAGCCAGATTAATGAGAATAAAGCGACGCGCCCGGCGTTCACCGCGACGCTTTTCAATGCCACCGCCGCACGCCCCGTTGCCGAAATGCTCGCTGCCTAAAAGCAAAGGGGTGGCGGGGAGGAGAGGGGGTGGGGTACGGAACGTTTCGGGCCGGCAGGCAAGACGCGACTTTATTTCGTACGGCATCGTGGCCATATGGTGCCTGCCACTTCAAGAAACAGTCCGCAAATTACATGCTGCCAACGCTGCGAGCATCATAGCCCGCACTCGTTGGGGTACTGGAGAGGAATATTTCCAAGCTTTGAAAAAATACCGTTTCGAATATAATTGTTTTTTTTATTGAACAAGAGGCCATTACAAAGCACGAGCGATAGGGCAAAGGGGTACAGCGTTTTTTAAAGTGTGACCCGCCAAAAGTTTTTGAAAGTCCTATTTGGTCCTCATAGTCCATGGTCCAGAGCAGATATTTCGGGTACCACTTCAGATAGCAGAGCTTTAGTAGTTCCAATTTATGTATACGGCCATTCATTTCAAGTCGTTATCACATAATTCATTGTAATTGGCCACATCAAGAAATTGGAACCACAACAGCTATGTACCGACAAGCGATCTATCTCTGTCTGGGTTCAAGGACTATGAGCAAGAGAAAGGTGTCCTATTCTTGTGTTGAAGGCAGGCACAACCCAAAACTACAAATAGTTCTACCTTACAGCTACGCACCCAGGCTACGTGTCTCGGACTGTCCAACATGAGCATGAAGCTTCGTGAATGAAAATTGAGTGACTTTCCCGTGACTTTTATGTGACTTTCATGTGCCTTCGAGCTGAATCGAATGCCACTGCAGTGCCTTCGCATGAAGAGATTCAGTGGTTAGACGGCAGTGACATCGCTAGAGCACTGTAATAATAATTAACAGTTTCTAATGCACACATTTCGCAAATCAGATACATTGTTCGATCAAGGACTTAGAGGTGTGCAACCAAAGCTCAAAGCTCCTTGTATGACTTTGGCCTTAAAGTATATTTAAAGTATTTTTTGTTTTCATTTTGTGGCCATCCTTGGACCAGAGGTGGAGATTCCATATTACTATGGCAAGGCTAGTCTTATCCTAATATTATAATGACTGTTGACTATGAGGTGCAGTCTGAACAGGTGGTTCTCATTTTTCCAACCACAAAGGGATGATGATTGATAATGGGGTTGAATTGAACCTGGCCAGGATTTGATTTTTTAATCCTACAACTGGATGTATCTTAATTTTTTTGTTATCAATGGCACGTGGAGTTTCTTTTCCTTTGCTGTTTATATTATGTCATTCAGATGCTAACAAGCATTGCGGATCAATTTATATTAGTTTATTAGTTTAAATTAACAGCAAATTAAGCCTAATGCAGTGTGTACAGATGTCAACAAAGGATACGCAATGAAAAGGTTGTGCGCGTTTATTAAACATGCACTCTCACTTAGCGAGTATATAAACACAAGTGCTGCACATTAGCCTTGCACTAATAAAGCCCCGGTTTGTTTGTATCTTGCTGACATAATTCAAATTACTAAAACACAAACGTAAATATTTTTTCAAAGCCAAATACCAAAACATCCCAAACACTAGATTGCATCGCCACCCTCTCTAAACGAACTCTCCGTCGGACCCCATAATTGTAATTAGGTTGTTCACCAAATCTAATTGGCACCAATTAACAAGCGAGAGGCAAAACGTTGAATGAGCCGTCCAGCTGAATCGCGCCCTTTGTGCCGTTCACCTATTGCGGGGGGTGGTGGTGGGGGTGCTGCTCACGTACAGCTGCGGGCGACGCTAGCGAGGGGGCAAGCTGGAGGAGGGATGACGACGCGGACGAGACGAGAAGACGTGGGGGATGGAGGAGGAGGGGGAGGGGTGAACGAGACGCACAGCGCTGGTTCGGGATAGAGGCTAGAAATCTGGGGGGGGAGGGGGAGAGAGTTGGGGGGGGGGGAGGTGCTGAGCGTTGGGAAGGCCTCTCCTTTTAGATTTTTTTTAAAGAGCTGTTTAGGGTGGGAGTCATTTACACCGCGGGTGCGTCTGTCCATTCTGGCTCTGTCAGCAGCTGCCAAAGCATTACCACGGCAGCCCTACAACCATGTCACCGCCACTGTGTCAGGGCTCAATGAGGGAGGACCCCAGTCCCAACCCCATCGTCGACCGCACGGCAAAAATAAAAGCCCCTTCCTTTTTCTTTTCTTTTTTGTCGGCCTTCTTTTTCCTCCCCCCCCCGTACCCCCTACCCCCCATCCCACTACTCCCGCACGCCTCCCTTTCCTCGCTTTTTGTATTCGCTCGCTGAATAAACACTCTATGGCTGGACCTTCACAGAGACCGAAACAACGCGGGGTTGTGTTTTGTTTTGGTGGGAAAAGAGCTTACTGATGTTCTGTTACTGTGTTTCATTTTTTTCTTTCTCTTTTTTTACCAAAAAAAAATGCGCATGCACGCACCCACGCACGTACCGACTGCCTGTCCGCCACCACCGCCGCTGTCTTGTCTTTCCCTCTCCGTGTGTCTGTCCGTCCGTTCGTCCATCTGTCTGTCCACGAAGACGGGGCGGCAGCTGGAGGCGGAGCAGTCGTACAAGTACGCCGTCAAGGTGAGCTCCCTTGTCGGCTCGCCCACCTGTCACACGGTGCCTCTGCCACTGCCTTCCACACCCAGTGGACAGTTGAGGGTTTGGGAGATGGAAGGGGTGGGGGTTGGTCGGATGCTGGGTGGGGAAGACAGCTGCCGTCCACACTGACCTGTGGAGGTCATTCGATGGAGAGAAAATAAAATCCTCAGTCAACCAACGATGATCTCCTGATGAAACCCACCGTGTAGTCGTCCGTTCAAAACAGCTGCTTCTATTGCAGACGTTGATTGGCCGTACCTCTGGGGAGCTCCAAAACGTTGGCTCCTAAAGGAGCGTTACTCTGTAGATTTATTCGCGGCTTTGCACGATGCGAATGTTTATCGTTCCTCAGCGGTGGAGTGAAGTACCGCTGTTTGCGATCATTACCGTGGGATCTCGTGGCATCTGGCTGAGCGGAGGGGATGAGAGTGCGTGCCGTGTTTTTTCCCCCCCAAGGCCTCCGCTCAGTCCCTGTGTTTGCATTTCTGCAATGCGGCCCTTGTTGCACAGCTTGTGTTGGGAATGGGTTAACTTTGGACATTTGAGATGGGTCCGCCACCCCTGAAGCCGCCCAGCCTCCGCGCCCTTTAAATCGGGGTCCACTAATCTCGCCACACTGCAAGCTGTCAGTCAGGGCCCCCCTCCTCCTGCATTAGCTTGAAAATTGAGCATTCGTCCATTTACCTATTCGACGTGTTTTACTTTGCCCATCGCAGGGTAAGAGTGCTGCGCAGGAGAGGGCAGTGTGGTCTGTTCAGTGAAGTGTTGGAGTGAAGTTAGGAAAACAGCTTTAATCACAGAGATGGCTGCACCAATGTGTATATGTGAAGGGCATTGGTTGACCACATGAATGGGGTCCCATGGGTTCACGTATGCTGATGAGCTAAATGCAGCAGCAGATGGGCTCTGCATACCGGCACATCAAGTCTTATGAGACGAACGTAACTGCTCCAGTGAGTTCTTCTACATTCGGAGCCTGAGTCTTCGCCATATCGACGTAGAAACTTGAACTTGAGAAGTAAATCTCCACACGACAAAAAATTAAGGTCATCCATGTAGCCTATGTAGGCTGTTGGGGCCGATGGACGAGACTGCTGACGAAAAATTACAAAGGGGAGAACGCACGCCCAAGGAGGTGATCAATGCGGAGATGGAGCAATGGCATCAGTTCAGGGTGGCATGGGGAGGCCTTCATCCCGCAGTGGATCAGCAGTAGCTCATGGTGAAGATAATCACGGTGAACACGATGATGACGATGATCAGTCCGCTTCAAGGTGGCCCCATATACCTCCATTCCCCTCACCCTCCCCACCCGTCCTGCAACTGCTGCTCACCCGACAGCAGCAGCCCTTCCCCACCGGTCCCCTGAGACCACCGAGCAGCCGAGACCCACAGTGACCCACCCTGCTCGTGGCACGGCCGCCTCTCTTTGTGCTGCATGCTTGCCCCCGCCCGCCTGCCCGCCCGCCACGATAGAGGAGGGTCCTCCCGTGTTCTGCCGCCGGCTCTCCACACACAAGCACCGCACGCCACTCCACGTCCTCCTGCTCCCGTGCCTGAAACCACTACCACCTCCCCACAACAAAGACAGATCCCCCGTGTAGCCTTTACTGATTTTTTTAGCAAGTGCTGTTAGCGAGCAACTATGAAGGCCGGCACAGTACACAGGGGGGTGAGGTGGGTGGCCAGAAACACACCGCACCGCCTTTGTCTCCCCAGTGGCGATGTTTACACACCGCACCAGGCACTAATTTGAGGCTGAGTCGACCTAGGGGAGGCCCAGGACCGGTTCAGATAATCGTCACCGGTGTTGCCGAACTCGGGTTCACAGCGCAGCGCGCTACCCGCTACACGCTCCCCCACACACACACTCACACGCATGCACACCACACGCCACCCCTCGCCCTCCTCCTCCTCCGTGTCCTCCTCCCTTTGCCTCCTGCGCACCAAATTCCTGGGCCGCTTGGCAACGGCACCCCGGAAACGCATTCTGCCCATGCTGCTTAATTATGTATAATTACATCATCTGAAATCCATTCGCCCGCCACGGACGCCATAATGTGTCTGTTTGTCTTTCTCACTGCCAGGGGAGAGGCCCCTTTCAGGCCCGGCAAGCCTGTCCGAGGCGCCGACCACACGGACACTCGTGTGGAGATGGGCAGAGGAGGGCAGGTGGGAAGGCAGGCATAGAAACCGGCATTAGAGATAGACTTAGACACGAGCATAGCGGCAGTCTTAGAGATAGACATAGACACCTAGCATACAGGCATGAAGATATAGCAGCCAGCGTCGAGGTCGGTTATTGAGACAAGCATAAAGACAGGCGTAGAAGTAGGCATAGAGGCAGGTATGGAGGCAAGCGTTTCGGGAGGCAGAGGGAGGAAGGCAGTGGTAGACACAGGAGTCGTCGTCTTCATCATTATTTATGACCTATCCACCGCTGGATGATGGACTTCCCAAGCCGTCGCCATCTCATTGTCTCGCAACACAAAAGCCCATTTAGCCGCTGCACGCGATCTGATGTCATCACTCCATCTCTGCAGTGGATGACCTCTCGGCGAGTTCCCCGGTTTGGCTGCCACTAACCGGCCATCGTCACTTCTTGCAAATGGGTCCTGCCCAAGTCCACTTTTCTCTACAATGAATACGTCACTTAATTGCATATCTTCTCTGATCCACGTGTTTCTCTTTCTGTCTCTTTATGGCTCCCAGTGGTATTCCAAACGTACACCTCTCCATGCTCCCTGTCCTTTAATCACAGGCGGCTTTCCAGGATTTGAACCCAGGATCTCAGCAGTGCTAGCTCAGCGCTCTGACCTCTGACCTCTAAGCCTCCTGGCTACCTCATCAAACGTTACTTATACAATTTGGTTCGGAGATCACTGTGCACACCGTGCACATCCACACGTCCCCAAAATTGTCTAAAGTCAGTCCACAGCTCGCACGCTAAGGGCGGCGTGTCTTTTTTCCCCACATTCCCTGACAAAATCCTCAACGTCCCTCGTCCATCCACTCTTAGAATGGGAGACGCACGTGCCACGACAATCCCTGCTCGGCCTCGTGCGCGTCCGCACCTCGGCAATGAGATACAAAAGTTCGAAGGGCGGGCACTCGCGGTTTCCTTTAGCACCGCGATGGCAGCGGCAGACAGGACAGAGCGCGTGCATGCCCTGTGCTGGCGTCGAGGCTGGCGCTAGAGGAGAAGAATGCTTCCCCAGATAGGTGCGGAACGACAGCGGTGCGCGGAATGCGGTCGCTGTTGGCGCGAGCTCTAACAGCCGGACTGAGCGACTGACGGGAGTAGAGCCGGAGGTCACCAGATCGGCTGTGTGCATGCGCGCGCAAACCATTCGCGTGCAAGCGCTGTCGATGGGGGACGTGCGTAACAAGGTCACAGCCAGCTCCGGACCAAAGCTGATGGATTACTGTGGCAAAGTTGTTGCACTGTGTTGTCTGTGTGCGTGTAATGTCTCGCTGTGTTATCCCCCAGGTTTCACTTCATAAAGAGACTCAATTGGGCTCTCAGCTGGTTTGTGCCATCTCTGCAGGGGATCCTCCAACCAGCTTCACCTATTAATTTGGTCAATAATGTTTGCCGTTTGCTTATCATCACATGACCCAGAACGCACATGGTTCGGTCTCAGAAGCTAAGCAGCTGTGGAGCCTGCATAGTGCTTGAACGGGTGACACCCACGCATAATCCAGGTGTTGTAGGTGGCTGAGGGGCTGCTGTCTCAGCAGAGGGCAGTGCAGCATCATCCATTGTTGAGTTGTACTCTTCCCCAACGTCTGTACTCCCTGCTATCGCTAACCTGCACTGCCCAGCGTGGGAGGTAATGATCAAACAACTCCCGTGGCTCGCGCGGTGCAGGAAGGCCTTCATCCAGCAGTGGAATTACAAAAAGGCCCGTACTTGTATGTGCACATTTCCTCGTTATTGATGAGCGCCATGAATTGAGCGCATAATGTACACCCGGTGAGGCCTACGAGCTCGTTGTAACGTGCTTTTGCCACTTCTAGTCACTGGGATAACTCAATCGCCGCTCCGACTACACGCGCAGTGCCATTGCCAGGCAAATGCCTGCAAATTTGCCCATGCCATAGCATTGCAATTTTCTTTTCTTGCAGCATGAGCGTTAATCCGTGTCGGTGCATTCGACGATTTAGAACGTATACTTTCCATTTTGAGGTGAGTCTTTAATTAACCAAAGTAACACAAGCACGTGTGTGATTTACGGGGTGTGCGCGATGCCGACTTGGCAGCCCGGAAGCATGTGAGTGACGAGTGCAATGTGTTGGCTATCGCGTGTCCCAAGCATCCTCGTATAATCCGCACTGGGCCAGGCAGCGATTAACCCAATGCCACCGCGACCACCACCACAACTGTTACCACCGCCGCCACCAAGCGCTTAGCCCGCTATCCTTAACCTTTTTCTCACCCCCCACCACCCCAACGCCACCACGTCCCCAACTCAAATCACCATTATAGCCCGCTCCGTGTCAGCCTTTTTGGGCACGTGCTATTTCCACAGTGACTTCATGTCAGTGGGTCTCGGATTTTACTGCGAGAACTTCCCCTTCCCCCCCCTACTCTTAACGAGACGGCGGGTCCCATGACGCCGCGGCACGCTGTGCGCTCGCCCACGTCTCACTTTTCGCCCGCACGGGCCCCAAGAGTTGGATAATTTGGCCGTCTTCATTGGCGAACGGGAATACCGCCGTACGGGGGGGGGGGGGGACGATGCCCGTTTTGACCTGTCGGGCCCGCTCGCTTGTCTGTGCGTTTTGCATTGCAGCTCAACCTGCAGGACGAGCTGCTCTTGAGCGAAATCCACGAGGGGCAGCGGCTGGCAGGGTTCGGGAACCCGTCCTTCTGAGCTCCGCGGTTGCCCGCGCGCCACCGCCGCGTTTGCCAAGTGAATGTAAAGCGGCGTGCGCATGCACATACACGCTCACAAGCGCTCACACGCACGCACACGCTCACACACGCGCCTCGTGCACGTTTAAACGGCGGCCGTTCGCCCACCACGTGCTGCCAACACTGACACTGAACGGCGGGCGGAAAGTGAAAAATAGTTTCGGTAAAATGCGAAAGGTGGGGATTGAGGGTAGTGAGATGGCTGGTACTAGTGGACGTTTGGCTAGTCAGTTGGGGTTAGGAGTGCGGCTCATAGTAATGGTTGGTTGGCTAGCAGGTTAGGTTGTAAGGATATTGTTAGGGTCAGAGGGAGAGCTAGTGTTAGCAGCTCGTCGGATAGTCAGTTATGGTTATGGATAGTGCTAACATTGATCGAACTTTCGCACTCCGCTCCAAAACCGCTTGCATCTCTTCCCATTTGCAGCGTATGAACTTTCAGCTTTTGGCCGCGTTTTGTTTCTGGGGTTTATAGTTTCGTCATCTCCTGCTCGTGCAGCATCCATCACTGAGAGCAGCTGGTGGTAGCAAGATTTGCTGCGCTGTAGTTGAACACAGCGGCCAACAAGTGAAACATGAGCTCGCAGCCTCGAATTGCGAGCAGTGTCACGCTCCATCTGTACAGCCACGTCGATGTACTCTATTGACAATAAATAAACATTCGTTCTTTAAAATGAATAATAGTTGCCAGGTTTCCAATTTTTTTTTTTTGCTGTTCAAACGAATGCCTTTTTATTTCACGCAGCAAATTAAGGCAAAATGTAAGTGGAGGAAAATGTATGCATTAAAAAAAAGATATATCGGTTTTCAAATGCATGTTATTTATGGTTCAGTGAGTGTGAGACAAGCTCCTCATCAACAGCACCAGCCATGATCAATCCACTGCTGGATGAAGCACTCCCCAAGCCGTCGCCTTACTTCACGTCTTGCGTCGTAAGCGTCTGGCACCTGCACACAAGCTGATTTTAACCACTCCATCTCAGCGGCGTTCGTATCTTTCTCGCCAGAAGAGAAACATTTTCTGTCCGTGATTAAATCCATCCGACTGCAGACAGCCATGGCAAGGATGAGACTAAACACTGAATTACTATTTTTTTTTTTACCAGGTAATGCCCACTCATATATATAGATCTTTTTCAGAAGCTACCTGGCCACAATGGATTGCTCAACGAAGTGGCTTATCACGTGGAAATTTATAGCAGCCAAATACTCAATGCAGAGGACCCGGAGAAAAATCCATGCGACCACGGGAAGAACACGCAAACTCCAAATACACTACAGGAATCAGGGTCAGGATCGAACCCACGACCTCTTGTATACCAAGTGAGGTAGTGAACATCTCGCCACCGTGGCACCCCTGAAACGATGCATACATCGGTCTACCGACACCAGTAGGCTGTAGAGAATAAGCAATTCCATTTTGTAAAGTGAAAAGTTCAATTTACACGAATTTTTATGTTATTATTTCTCCTGTGGCTTAATTAAAACCCAGTGAGTGGCATCAAAGGATGACCATGCTGCCGTGATGTAATGGTTAGCACACTGGACCTGCAATCCAGAGGCTGTCTGTTCGACTCTTAACTCCCGACGTGGCAGTTAAAACAATGGTGCAAGTTCATTAAATCCCAAAAGATCCCTGGTTTTGATCTTCCAGGAAGCTCATGCTCCACCCTAAAACGCATCCGTACAAACTATTGCAGATGTGAAATTAAAAAAAAAACTCTCCAATGTGCAACTGTGGTCATCCAGAACATGCCATACAACAAATAGCGACGCAATGCCCCGATCCACAAATACGAAGGAGAAATCAGAGCGATACACTCCGCTACTCCTGACGCGGTTACAGTATCTGTGCCTGACCACCTGAATGTGAAATTGTACTTCTTGCTCTGCATCTACATCAGCCGTACGACGAAAGAAGCGGATTAAATCCCTCCCACTGCCTGTATCTTAACTAGGAATATAAATTGGTGCACCACAATTAAGTCGATCGCCATGACGCGCATGCTGGGCAAAAGTGCAGGTGCTCCCACATCTTTGAGCTCTCTTCACTTGATACAGCAATTTTGCCGTGACGGTTTCCACCTGAAGACGGAAGCTTGTGTTGCCTCCGAAACGTCGTGAATTAATTTAGTTGTTTTTATTTTATTTTACCTCCGTGACTTTACCGAAAAAACCAAAGAGTATGAATCCTTGCAGCCACGAAAGCTTCAAATCTAGAATTAGCTCCCACATCTCTTGAGCTCTTTCGAGTGGACGCCTTCTACTTGCACCCGCGTGAACTGGTGATTACAGGGCTGTACCTTTACCTTTCACTTATTGAAACAAAACAAAACAAAAAACTATCTCAAGTGAGCTTCGAGGACGGGCATAAACAATACACGTGACTGGTTATGGCAGATCCAATTTTTTTTTTCTTCCAGAACAGCTTCGGGATGTTGCACCGGCATGTGCTGGCAAAGACTCCGGCTTCACCCGCCTGGACTCCCACACATGCGAATAGCAGTGGAGAACACTCGAACTCGAACGCGGATAGGTCAGTGACCCGTGTGTGCGCGATGAGATGCTTAATTGAGTTAGTGGGCGCATGCCTCGCCGGCCAGAGCAGATTTCGCACAACGGCAGTGGCAGCAGTGGAATGTTTACAAAGAGACCCGAAGCAGGGCTATGACTTCATGCGATCGTCTTCTCACTGATCTCACCCCGACTAAATTTGTCCTGACACCGGACCCCTGCTAATGGCCCTGCTGTCCCTCTCCGCTTTCCAGAGCCAGATCAGCTTTTAATATCTTGATGTTTTTTTTTTTACTTTGCGCTGTAGCTCCGCCACGTGTGCGCGTGAGTGCGTACGTGTGCGTGTTTTTTTCTGTTTTTTTTCATTGCTTGCACCCGACGCGTAAGGCGACCCCTCTGGAATGCCACGCGCACATGGCGCTAAATGTTGAGCATCGATGGTGTCAATCATTGGCGTTGCTGCTTGACACCGCCGGATTCCCGCCGCTTGCTCCTGCAACGCTGACGAAATGATTTCTGTATTAACGGAGATATTTTTATGAGTTCGCGTGTAAAGCGTTCTGAGATGCCCTGGCGCGCAGGGCACTCGATCGAAAAAAATGATGAGTATTATTAATCTCCACCTTTGTCCGATCATCAAGTTACATTGTCTCCATACGCAGCAAAACAGGCGTTGGCGCGGTGTGCGTCTTCACTGATGGAACATAGCGGTGGAAATTCCACATTGCCATCGCGTGAACAAATCTATTCGTTGGACAACCACACTGAAGGCTTGCAAAAAAGCGGTACACATTTTACCGACCTCAAAGTAACAATGGGTCGGCGGCCCCTAGCAGGGATTTGACCTACTTGCTTTTAATTGCAAGTAATTTTTTATTTGTTTTGTCACAGCTCCCCACCCCTGTTAGTGAAGCTGCGCCCAACATTAACGGACATCTCGACTGAAACTAAGTGTTCTTGATTCATACGTTTTGTAAAACAATGGGCAGTGCAGACAAAATCCCCTGCACGATGGTCCCACGACTATGCTTGCCCCCTTCGCCAACCCGCACTGATCAGCGTGGTGTGATTTACAGTCCATGAGCTCAGACCAGATATTTCACTTGAGCTGGTATAACCTTCGCGGTTCCAATTTCTGATGTGACCAATAACAGTGAGTTATGTGATAACCATTTCAAGCGAGTGGGATCATCAAGCGATGCCACTCTCATTAGCTGTGTAAATACATCGGCAGGATTAACGTTTTGCTACCTTCCGTGGCACTAATTTCTGCTCTGGCCCATAAACAATTATGGCCAAATATCCTCCCACGGAAAAAATGCACAGACATGTATTGTAACATTTAAAATAATATTCTTGGTTCTTTCGGTAAAGTCACGTAGAAGGGAAACAATAAAATAAAAAAATAAAAAACATGTTGTTTATACTTTACCGAAAGAACCAAGAATATGAATCCCTGCAGTCACGAAAGCTTTAAATCAATATTTAAAATAATATTAATTATATTCCTTTTTCCAATGCCTTTCAACTGAACATTAAAGCATTTATGCTTTAGCTCTGCCTGTCCGTAACGAAGGGGGTGGACACTATGACTCTTATAAACACGATCCAATATGAACGAACTCGTGATATAATGTTGAGTTGCTATTCGGGACTCGTCCTATTGAAATAAACACGATCCAATATGAACGAACTCGTGGTATAATGTTGAGTTGCTATTCGGGACTCGTCCTATTGAAATAAACACGATCCAATATGAACGAACTCGTGGTATAATTTCGATTTCAGTGCTGTCCTCCAGACAGTCTCGTCCCTTCACCTGATGAAGGCCGCTTGTGTTGTGGCCGAAACGTCGTGAGAATATTATTGTGTTATTTTATTTTATCAATTTATTATTTTATTCTCATTCTACGTGACTTTACCGAAAGAACCAAAGAAGATCGTGGTATAATGTCTAGTTGCTATTCGGGACTCGTCCTATTGAAATAAACACGATCCAATATGAACGAACTCGTGGTATAATGTCGAGTTGCTATTCGGGACTCGTCCTATTGAAAACCGGCCAAATGTATCGTGCAAACGACCAACAAAATCTCTTTAACAGTGCCTATTTACTTCGGTTATGAACTGTTACAAAAATCTCTAATAATGCCAGTCGACCCCTTGGTCCACTCAGCCTTAAATGGGTACTGGGGGAGACAGAGGTTAACTGGGCATAGTCCTGGTCACACCACCCTCCCCCTGTGGTTCGTGTTGGCCGCCACAGGTGCTCGCTAACGTGAACGATCACAAAGGCCCCGATGGCAGGCGTGGGTGGCTGAGTATCTCTTGGGTGAGGGTTATCAGCTCATCGGTGCGCGGTTGTCGGCGTGCCTCGTCGAGTGCCGGTCCTCAAGAGCACTCTCGCACGCGCACCGTCAACGCGTGTCTCTGCCGTAATTACAGGCGAACGGGAGTGAAACGACATCAGTGGCTCTGGTTGAATGGCTGGGTTGGGTTGTACGGGTGAGTGAGAGGTTTGGTTCGTGAAAGATAGAGTGAGTGAGTGACTATAAACATTTGAAGAGTGAATGAGTAAGAGATTGAGTGAGTTTGTCGGTGATGTAATGATTGAGTGAATGAGTGAATAAAATATTCGGAAGAGTAAGATTGGATGACGGAGTGAAAAATCACGTGAATGCATCAGTGAAAAAGATTTGGCGAGTTCGGGAAAATTTTATTGAGTGAGTGAGCGAGTGGCTGTGTAAGTAAGGTGGTGAGTGAAAACGTTGACGACTGAGAGATTGGTAATTACTGAGTGTGTGAGAGAGCGAGTAAATGACACGGTTAGTGAGCAAGTGAGTGAGAGATTGCGTGAGCAAGTGAAATATTTTGTGAGTATAATGTAATATTGTTCAATGAGCGAGTGAATAAAATGAGTGAGTGGGTGAATGAGCGAGTGAATGACTGAAGGCTGGAACGCAGCCGAGCCCGCACACAAATCACCCTTATTTATGGGTCCGCACAGGTGTGGGGGGCTTTCTAAATGCGTCTCGCGTGATGTTTGTGGAGGCACAGATATTCCCGTTACAACTGCGGCGGACACACCACGTGTTCGTGTGTGTGTGTGAGTAGTGGCGCGATGGTTAGCGCACTATGTTCTACGAACCCCGGCGAACCGAGTT